CTCCCCACCATGTCACAGGCATATAGAAAAACCATCTTCAAACCTCCCCGCCCCATACCTAGAATTCCCATGGGGTATGACCAACAAGCTCATCAAAGAATAGTTGCAGACTGCCCATCCTCTACTCCAAATGGATGCGCTTTATCCAACACGCACAACCAAATATCTCCAAATGAAAATCTTGTTGAATGCCTAATTTCCCTCCTCAATAATTTAATTTTGAAAATGTCAGATTCACTACCGAACAACGTTGCAGAAAAAATCTTTAATTTAGCTAGTTTAATAGATAATATAAATGACTCAAACAAAAGACCTCCATCTCCTTCAATGGAACTGTAGAAGCTTGCAACCTAAAAAATCTGAACTCATCTTCCTAATAAATAAACATTCAATTTCTGTTGCTTCAATTTCAGAAACATGGTTCCTACCTAACTCCAAATTTCGCTTGCAAGGCTTTACTTGCCTCCGTGAAGATAGAAATGATGGTTATGGTGGTTGTTGCTTACTCATAAAAAAATCCCTACCCTTCTCTCAAATTGCACTCCCTCCTCATAGCCAACACATTAATGCCATAGCTGCAAAAATTGCAGGAATCAACATTATTTCAATATATATCCCTCATCCAAATACCCACTTAATTCAAGAACTATCCTCTCTCTTCTCTTTGTTACCTCCCCCTTTTATTATTACCGGTGATTTTAATTCACATCATGTATCTTGGGGGTCACATTTTTGTGACATATACTCTTCAGAACTTATACAAATTTTTGAAGACATTAATGCTTGCATTATCAACAATGGTTCCCCCACTCATAGAGTATACCCAGGACTAGACCCTAGGTCTGCTGTCGACCTAACAGCTTGTTCTCCTAGTCTAGCCCCTCAGCTTTCTTGGAAAACCCTCAATCAATCATATGGAAGTGATCACTTTCCCATTCTTATTACCAAACCCAATGCGGTTATTCCTTTACCCTTTACTATGCCCCTCCTTAAATATAAGCTCCAAGACGCAGATTGGACTAATTTCACTAAATTTTTAGATACTAAATTTGCGCAAATGCAGGTTGACTTCTCAACCAACCCAATAACTTCGTACTCTCTATTGGTACAATATATAACTGAAGCAGCTGACTTATTTATCCCATCCAAAAAACCCCACAGCAAGAACCTATCCTCCCCTCCATGGTGGGATGCTGAGTGCACCACTATGATTAAAAGGAGAAAAGCTGCAGAAAAGCTTTATAATCACTGTATGACAACCGATAATTTTATACAATTTCAAAAAACCTCCGCTCAAACAAGGAGACTACTTTCCAAAAAGAAAAAAAATGGATGGAAAAAATTTTGTGAATCCTTGTCCCCTAATTCACCAGTAACAATAGTTTGGAAAAATATAAAAAAATTTCGTGGCTCCCTTCTTTCTGATTCCAACATTTCTGATAACTCTTTACCATGGTTAGAAGTCTTCTCTGATATGTTAGCTCCTCCTTTTGTCCCTAATGAATATACAATATGCCCACCCATTCCAGTCCCGTCTTACATCAACAATAATGAGATAATCTTCTCATTGTCCGAATTACAGTCTGTGCTATCTGGCTTAAAATCCTCTTCTCCAGGAGAAGATGGCATACCCTATGCGTGTTTATGTAAATTAATTCTTCTCCAAATTCTGAACAATATCTACATATCATCTAATATTCCTCTGTCTTGGTCAAACCAAATTGTTATACCTATCCTTAAACCCGGAAAAGATCCCAAAGAAGCTTCTTCATACCGCCCAATCGCACTCTCATCTACTTTTTGCAAAATTTTAGAACATTTAATTAAAAACAGACTTGAATGGTTTCTGGAACATAATAACATCCTTGCAAAAAGTCAATTTGGTTTTCGTAAAGGCAAAAGCACTTTAGATAGTTTGAGCATCCTAACTACAGATATTAGGTTGGCCTTTTCTAAAAATGAATACTTGGTGGGTTGTTTCCTGGACATATCATCTGCCTATGACAGTGTTCTTCTTCCAGTGCTCAGGCAGAAAATGCTTCATCTGAACATCCCTGCGAAGACTGTACACTTCATTTACAATCTGTTCATGGGACGATCTATCAAAATTCGCAATAAAGGAATGTTAACCTCGCCCAGAACAATCTGGAAGGGTCTACCACAGGGCTCGGTCTTAAGCCCTATTCTTTACAATATCTACACATATGACCTTGAACATTCGATTTCATCTTTCTGTGACATATTACAATATGCAGATGATCTTGCTATCTATGTAACAGCTCCTGATATCCTAACTGCCTCCCATCATCTTAACAGAGGCTTATATTATCTTAATCAATGGCTTACTGACCATGGCCTCTCTCTTTCAGCTTCTAAAAGCAAAACAATAACCTTTAGTAGAAAACGTGTTTTCCCTACTATTGATATCTCATATAATGGTGAATCTATTCCAGTTGTTAACAAAGTAAAATTTTTAGGTATTTTCTTAGATTGTCATATGACTGGTACTGCTCACTTTAATTACATCTGTGACAAATGTGAGAAAGGTGTTAATATTCTTAGATCCCTTTCAGGCGTATGGTGGGGTTCTCACCCCATGTGTCAAAAAATCCTATACAATGCCATCATCCGCAGTCACTTCGACTATGGCTCTTTTCTTTTGGAGCCCTGCAACAAATCGGCCCTTAATAGACTTGATGTTATCCAAACAAGATGTTTACGTATTATCACAGGCGCAATGAAATCAACTCCTAAAAATGCTTTACAAGTAGAATGTGCTGATCCCCCTCTCTCTTTACGAAGACAGTTTCTAGCTGATAGATTTCTCTCAAAAACTCTACAACTATCATCTCACCCCTTACATCGTAAACTAGAATCCTTGCTACTATTAGCTGTAAACAACTCCTACTGGTTTAATAAAAGCTGGCCCCCTATTCTTAAATCTCTAAATAGATTAAAAAATATTGGTTATCCTTGTGTAACATCCCTAATTCTACCCTATTTTGAAACCAGCTATGAAGCTATATTAATAAACCCTAAAATCACTCTGAATTTAAACATTAATAAAAATTCCCCCACTGCAAACAGAACTTTCTACAACCTTGTGGCAAAAAAATGGTCTGATTGGCTATATATTTTTACTGATGCTTCCAAATTGTCTCCATTCAAATGTGTCGGTTCCGCAGTCTGGATCCCCAAATACAAAATTGTCCTTAATTATAGATGTCCTCCTCAAGCTTCTGTTTTTACTGGGGAAGCTGTAGCCATATATGAGGCTATTTCCTATATTCTTTCCCATAAAATTCCTAAGTCAGTTATATTTACTGATTCAAAAAGCTGCCTAATGTCATTACAGAGCAATATATTTAAAATGAATTCCATCTCCCCATTAATACTGAAAATTAAGGAACTCATACTAAATTGTAATAAGAGTGGGCTTGATGTGGAGATAGTGTGGATTCCTAGTCATTGTGGTATAGAAGGAAATGAACAGGCTGACTCTTGGGCCAAAGGAGCTGTTGATACTGGCTGTCCTTCTCATTTAATGATTTACTCTCATGATCTAATGTCATTAGCTCAAATTGAATTAAAGAACTCTTGGAACAGAGAATGGAGCACATCCAGACATATTAAAGGTTGTCACTTTGGTAAAATTCAACCCCAAATCCCTCCAAAACCTTGGTTCTTTAAATTTAGCTTTTTGAACAAACAAATCACATCTACAATCTGCCGTTTAAGGCTTGGGCATGCCTGCACTCCTGTATTTCTAGCTAAAATTAGAATCAAAGATCATTCCCTCTGTGAATGTGGACTGGATGAAGGTACCCCAGACCACATTTTCTTTAATTGCCAAAATCACCCAATTTCTTTATATGACATTCTTCCCAACACAATCCCTCGACCAATGAATATCAATTCCCTCTTAACTATCCCCAATTCCATATATGTCAATATGATCTCAAAATATATTCAAATGTATAATATTAAACTCTAATTATCGTGTACTAAATTTAGCTTAAACTAATTCTCTATTCCCTGCCCAGGCTAATTCTCTCCTATAACTAGATGTTTGCTCTATATTGTGTGGTCCATAATTTATGTATTTAGTTGCTTTGTTTTTATCCATATTTTCACCTAATAACCGCTAACTCCTTTTCCACCGAAAAGCCTAAAGACAAGGTGCGACAGACCAAAGACCGGACATTGGCAGAATTATTGTGACATAATCACAATACCAAGGGCCAAATAGACCAAATAATAATAATAATAATAATGTTATTATTTATCTATTCTTTCATAGTATTACTACTTTAGTATTATTTGAGTACCCTTATAGTTCACTCAAATAGTGGAGATACACTCAAAATGCATTCAGGGTTTTAATGTAATAAAATAGGTGGTTGATTTTTTTTTTATAGTATAAGGGTGACAAACGAGCACACAGTCCACCTGATGGTAAGTGGTTGCTGTGGCCCATAGACATCTATATCTATCCTCGTTTAAGAAAGAAAATGCAGATGCGTTGTCAGCCGTGAGGACTAAGATGGTATGCCTCTTTTCCAGTAAAAAGGGTCTCCGGTTCTCTACACTCACCATACGAAACACAGCAGCGTTATGCTGTTATTTTACATGGGTATTTTGTGAGAGTGTGGTTTGTGCTGCAACTATACTATTAATATAGCTGTAGCATAGCTCTACCACATATACATAGCTGCTTCATGGTTCTACCACATATAATATGTGTATGAATATAAATAAAATTAATTTAATAAAATATACTTAATAATTATTTTTAAGTATAAAAATTTTCGTTTTTATTTGTTATTCCTGCATTACACCAATGTCAAAATTCTCACAATGCCATTGATTGGAGCAGAGAATGCCTAGTCATCAAGTTTCCAAGTTTTTATGGGAATGTAGTAATAAATAAATAAATATATGGAAATTAAATGCATTGATAGATAGTCATTATTAATTTTATACATTACAGAAACTTAATCATGGCTACAAAGCAACCAATACAGACTAAGAAAGAAATGTCATCAAATCTAAGCCGCAGTGTGATGCTAACACGGTTTAAACTATCACAGCAGAAACGACAACTACGAGAGAAGGACAGAAGAATGACTCATATAACTCAACTTCTTAAAAAGCCACATTTATTAACCAAAACTACAGACAACAAAGAGAAGTCTCCGAAAACCTCACCCAAATTAAGTAGACCATCAGTCAAACCCCCAAAAAAAGAGAAACAGCTACAAACGAAGAAACCAGGGAAAGTGGAGTTCTGTCCCAATAAGGCCAAAAGAAATATAGTTGCAAAGAAGATTGTATTGAAACCGAGACATGAACTCAAGGTTATCGGCAGGACTAATGGAGTTAATAAGAGGAAATTGGACATGACGCATAAGGGTAAGTCCTGTTCTAATCAAGTATATGCTTACTATGTGGTTCTATGTCTGGCTGGTTTTTTGGCGGGAACTTGACCGACAACGGTTTGCTGCTTATGTATTATTGTTTAAATAATGGTTTGAATTGGATTTTGATATGTAAAAGTGGTGCGATTTTGTGTATTAAATATCTACACATGAGAACTATTAGTGGAAACGGTGAAACAAGTGCTCTGATGGTGATGTAGTCTCGAGATAAGGTGTCTATCTGCTTAGGCGCCTTAAGATACCATCGCCAACCGTCAGCTGTCTGCTGGCTCAAGTTGCTGTCAAAATCTCCCAAGAGCTGCACAATGTGACACATCAACATATTGTGAAGCAGTGTAATATGAAGGATAATTATACATTGTAACTTCCGGCTCAGAAGGGCTAGAAACCAGAGCCGTAAATCCAGTTATTAAAAAAATCTATGTCTAGCAGTCGGTCTAGGAAGGTGCCACACTCTTATCTGTTTCCACCCACCTAAAAGCACCAGTATGTGCACTGCTAAGGCTGTCTGAAACGTATAGAGAGCCAAAATAACCACAGGCTGTGAGACATTTCATCTAATTCCTCGGAGGTGATGATGCATGTGTAGCCTTCTTTGTTTGAAGTTGCGGGTGTCCATAGGCCGCAGTAGTCGCTTACTGTTGGATGAACTGTTAAGTTGTATATGTCATTTTAATTTTAAAAAAACGAAACTACTTTAGAGTTACTTACCCAAGGGTAACCAACGGGACCCTATTACTAAGCCGCCAATGTCCGTCCGTCTGTCTGTCAGCGGGCTGTATCTCATGATCTGTAATAGGTAGACAGTTGGAAATTTCACAGAATGTGTATTGCTGTTGCTGCTGTAACAACAAATAATAAAAATTAAAGGGCGAAACGTGTTTTACATTAGTACGAAACCCTTCATGCTCAAGTCCAACTCACATATGGCCGGCTATTTAGTATTTACCAGGATTTACTACATCGTGAAGTGCTCAGCTCAAAATAATAAAAATAAACTACAGTTGCTGACCTGTCATAGCCTGTTATAGGTAGGCAATATTTTGCATAGCTGCCAAACCCTGCATTCCCCTATAACACATTTTATAGGTGAGGCCTAAGTTTAGCAACAGGCATTTGATAGGCTCTAATAATTTAATGCCGCACCAAGAACCCAAATACTGGTGATAAAACAGCATTACTATATTACAGCATTCAACCTATTTACAGTGGCGTAGCTATGTAACCAAAGGCCCCGGGGCAAAAATGAAATTGGGGCCCTATTTAAACTAAACTAAATACTTTAAAGATGCAAAACTAGTTCATCATCAGCTCCTTGTTGCCCACTGAAGGGCATTTAAGCAAAGCTACTTACTACTAAGTATTATGTGTACCGCATAAATAATGATGAAGTAGATTACAGTTAATAATATAGGCAAGCAACATAACAGTGGAAGAGCCACACGGCAGCTTTAGCTGTCACACTGTCAAGAGCTGAATGAATGGGTGGACCACAACTTTACAGATGAAAAGCATGAAGTAGAAGTTTACTTCGCCTGGTAAGTGCAGGTGGTCGGAGGCCTAACCCCTCTCCCCCTTAACATGTTAATGTAATTAAATAAGAAACATCCCAGGAGGGTACCAGCACTTCTGGTATTGGAGAAATCATCCACGCCTAAGCTACCCTACACTTCCTTAGCGCGGGTGCTCAGGCTGCCTCGCGTATCCTGGGGAGGGGCGGGGCGAAATTCCGCTCAAGACTAATACTGCTTGTGGTAAGTAGAGCAATAAGACCAAGGTGACCCCTGACACGCTATCCGTGGATTTCTGTAACATCAGGAGATTTCATTCGAACGTTAAAGAAGTCCACTAGGTACCGTCTGAAGACGGCGAAGCCGACCTTGCTATTACTAAACGAGACGCAGGTGTCCTTTCCGGTTGATATTTCTCTCCTATCCAGGGTATAAATTAGAATACCTTTGTGCCTCGGGCTGGAGTTTGCGTATACGTCAGAGAGGACATCTGTTCTCGACGCCTCGGCAGTCTTGAAGGTCAGCGACGAGCATCCTTGCGTCTACGGGTGACTCTATAGGTAACGCCGACACAGAACAACTCATCGACCACGTCCCAGGTCCCAGATCGTGATCCTTGATGATTTTAACGCCCATCACGCTGAATGGCTTGGGTTTCGTTTAACCGACCATGCGGAAAGATCTGTTTATGACTTTTCCTTGGCATATGGTTCGAGACAAATTGTTATTTCGCCTACGCCGATTCTAGATGTGGAGGATCGTGCACCTTCCCTGTTAGACCTGCTGCGTAACTCTCATCCGGACGGATATCAGGTCTCCGTCGACGGCCCTCTTGGCTCATTGGACCATTGTCTGATCCGGACTATGGTGCCACTCACACTCATTGCGGTTTCCTTTTGCAGATCGCCGCCGTGTTTGGCAGTAAGGTTAATAATATATATATATATATATATAGTTAGTTTTAGATAAGACCAGTCGTAACGTGTGTTATCTAAAACTCTTTCTTCCTAGGGAAGCCTTCCCAAGCTCAATCGACATAGTCATAGTCATTTATTCCAAAAACAATATGCATTGTGTTGGAAAACTTAATTGTAACATAAAATATTAAATTTAATTAATTAACATTATACGTGTTTACTAAAAATGTCTACAACTTAATTATTAATTAAATAATGTCTGCAATATAAATTTTTACCAAACTCAATATAATCATTCACCGAATAGAAACATTTTTCCAATAAAAAAGATTTTAACCTTTGTTTAAAAATTTTAACATTATTTATGGTTTTTAGGCCATTAGGTAGTCTTATTAAAAAGTTTAACAGCTTGATTTCTAACGCTATGCTCAACAACCTGTAGTTTTGTTTTGAAGACATTGGGTATATTCTTCGTCGACGTCTCGTGTGGTATCTTCTTGCCATTTCATCATCAGTTTCATATCTATTTGGATGTTTGACAAGATCAGTGAGTAAAGTAAGAATATACAAACAGGGCACACTAAGGATTTTCAAATTTGATTTTGATTGCCTCTGGTGTATGCGAGATGTTATTCTAATTGCTCTTTTTTGTAGAACAAACGCTTTTTTTTACATTATAGGCATAACTATTTCCCCAAAACTTAATACTGTATCTTAAGCGAGATTCTATTAGAGCATAATATACAATTTTTATTGTTTCGTGGTTAGTTCTTCTCTCAAGCTTCTCAAAGCATAGCATGCAGAGCTGATATTGCTCTCTCTATATTATTTAATTCATCTTTCCATGTCAAATACGAGTCTATATAAACACCTAAGAATTTCACCGATTGTACAAGTGGTATGCAGTTTTCATGTAATCTGATGTTCAAGGTATCTCGCGTTTTCGCTGTGGTTTTGAATAGTATAGCTTTAGTTTTTTCTGCATTCAGCATAAGATTATTTGCATTAAACCACAGAGAAAACGTTAATAGAGCTCTATTTAGTCTATGGTTGAGATCATTTGTATTCTGTGCCGATATTACCGCATTTGTATCATCCGCAAAAGCTACAATATGAACTTCCGGTAGAGAGTTATACATAAAGGGGATCAAATCATTTATAAATATGATGAAGAAGATTGGTCCCAAAATGCAACCTTGTGGCACTCCTCTATTAATTTTATCTAATTTAGATTTATACGTCTTTTCATACTCATCCTCGATACACTTCAGTTCAACATATTGCTGTCTGTTTTCTAAATAAGACTTGAATAGCTGTAGCACATTTTGCTTTATTCCGTAGTATTGTAGTAATTACTCAGGCCTATCCAACTTGTTCTCCAAAATAATGAAAACGATTGTGAACTGCCAATTCATGAGGTTGAGGATCACCAACTGAAAAGTGACCGCGAGTACGATTTCCGTCGGAGTTGCTCAGCTGGTGATCTTCTGGCTTACCTGACTCATAAATCGGCAGAGGCAGCAAGTGAGACTCTCGCCGTTAGTTTGGACATAGCGAAGGCCTTCGATCGGGTTTAACACAAAGCGCTTCTTTCGAGGCTCCCTTCCTATGGGCTTCCTAAGAATTTATGCAACTGAATCAGCTGTTTTCTTTCAAATTAGAGCAACAAAGTTGTAGTAGAAGGTGCACGCTTCATTCACAAGCATATTTATGCTGGTGTTCCACAAGGCTACGTGCCTACGCTGTTTCCTCTGCTTATTAATAATATGTTGCGACCCAGTAACGTGCATTGGTGATGCTTTATACACCGGCTGTGCCTATATATCTCGGAAAAACGTCGCCGAGTACCGTAACAAACTTTTGTCTGAATTCGAGTCTTTGCCGGATAAGGACTGGGATTGGGGCGACTAAATCTAATTAATTTCAAAGCCCAGAAGACACAAGTTTGCACATTTACCACTAAAAAGAACCTTTGTCGTAACTCCTCAATTTCAGGGCACTCCCCTTGTTACTTCAGCCAGTATCGGAATCTTCGGCGTTGACATATCGAATAACGTGCAGTTTCGTGGTCACTTGGAAGGGAAGGCTGAATTGGCCTCTAAAACTCTTGGCGTGTTCAGCTTAGCGGGACAGTATTTTATCCCGGCGCACTGCTTGCAACTTTACAAGGGACAGGTTCGGCCTAACATGGAATACTGTTCTCATCCCTGGGCCGGGGCTTCGAAGTAACAACTCTTTTCACTTGACCGTAACCAGCGCGAAGAGTTGTTGCATCCCTTTGCATTTTCTACAGCACTTAGCACAGGGAGTGTTCAGAGGAATTGTTCGGATTAATTCCAGCCACAAAATTTTATCAACGCATTTCACAAATCCACATCATCGTGATTTTTGGCGGTCCACTACTTTCCGTTTCACTAGTAGTTTTCTTCCTCGCACGACTTTCCACCGGCGATTTCTCCGGACCGATACGACTTCGACGAGAAACGAGCTTACTCCTTTTCAAAAAGCCGGCAACGCGCCTACAATTTCCCTGGTGTTGTATTTATTAATAGATGATAGTCGACACATGCTACCAGATAAGCTGCATGCTCGTTTGTCTCCCTCTTTTATTTATATAAAATTTAAAATTCTATTTTTTATAAAAGACAATAAAACGAAGTAGACAATTATCTTTAACAATGTTATATTTATGTTCTGGAAGTGGGAGTAATTTTTGTGATATCAGTTCGTGCCGTTCGCGGTCAGGAAGTTTTCGTACGTCGTTCTTGGAGACCGAAGGGCCCCGGGGCACGGCCCCGCCTTGCGCCTGGGTAGCTACGCCACTGCCTATATATTAGACGATGGACATTTCCTTGCCCTGAAATTCTCTCAGAAATGAAAGAAAGCCTGTGCCTAGAAGCGGGACGTGTACAGGCTGCAACTTTAACCTATTTATTTGCAATGTGCTCTTTGAATGACTTGATTATGTTATTAAGTATTATTCATTATTTTATTCATATATCACTATTTTAGAAATAAAATCGCCCCCTACTAAAAAAAACAGAACGGGCCACAAATTTTCGACATCACCATTCAATTCCATTTCTACAGTAACAGACAATGGATCTCAAAGTCCGATATATTCTGAGTTGGGTTTTGAGGAGATAATAAGAATGGCGGATGAAACCCAGAACCTCGACGATGAAGACTTACTGGAAATACTGACGTGTCCAAGTCCAGTTTGGTGGGAGGATCCTCCTGATGATAACTATTTGGATGGTGAGGAAATGTTTATTATACCCTTATTATTTTTTTGGCGTAGTAGAAACAACAGAAGGAGTCCGTTTGGGTACGTAACACCCACTCACCTATTTCTGACGCCGCATAGCAGTGCTTGAACTGCCGTGTTTCAATCTCAAGGGTCTAAGTGAGCCAGTATAAATAATAATAATATGTGAGGCATTCCATCTAAGTTCTCAGAGGTGATAACGCATCCGCAACCATCTTTGTTAGAAGTTGCTTACAGGTATCCATGGACTGCAGTAGGCACATACCATCTGGTCGACTGTTAGTTCAGTTGTCACTTCAATTTTATAAAAAAAAAACATAATCTTTGGCGTTTGGCAGTTGTAGGACTTATTTCTGCGTGGGAGTTTATTTCTTAGAAATGTTTCAGATGTTTTTCTTCACCGCCAATCGCAAGGTATCATGGAATCCGGCTAGCATAATATAAAATTTACATTGTGCGCTTAGCTTTTGAGCTATCATGGCTCTATGATTAAGCTGGGTACCGCGTCAAATCATGTTGACAAATCACTTGACGGTTAGGTAGCGCAATAGTTTGGCTCCATCGTTAAAAAACAGCATTTTTTTAATTTTATAGAATATTGGTGACAAACGAGCACACAGTCCACCTGATGGTAAGTGGTTGCTGTTGCCCATAGACATCTACATCTATCCTCGATAACGAATCAAAATGCAGATGCGTTGTCACCCGTGAGGACTAAGATGGAATGCCTCGTTTCCAGTAAAAAGGGTCTCCGCTACTAAAATTAAATTACAGATTGAGACGTCCCATTTAAGTCCTCAGACTGCAGATGTCCACGGTTACAATGACTTCTTGCCTTCAGTTAAACTGCCAACTTGTTAATCAAAAAGTAAATTATAATATTCTATCTTGTCTCATGGAGTATAAATATCATCTTGATTACCTCATTGGTACAGTGGTCGTAAACACGATTGCTGATAATTAGGTACCGGGTTCGAATCCCTGATCAGGCCAGTCAGTTATTGGGTTTTTATCAAAAAATTCTCAGTAGTAACCCGGAGTAAAAGCACGTAAAGCCGTGGGTCCTGCGCCTGTGTGCCTAGTGCTAGTGTATATTTTTACGTATTCGATCCCGAGAAAGTTAACTACAATTTGTATGGTATAAAATCATATTTATTAATTTTCATTTTGTCTCCAACAGTCCTCTTGATCACCAGACCAAGCGTCTTACTATTGAACACTTAAAGGGTTTACCTCGTCCCGATATTGATCTCTTTCAATTTTCTCCAGTAGCTATGGATGAGATCAAGAAGACAATCCTATCCATTAAATCTAATGCTGTAGGTTGCGACAACATCAGCCGACGGATGATTATCTTTATACTTGACCATATCCTCCCTGTTATCTCGCACATCATTAACTTCTCCTTGGATTCTGGTAACTTTCCTTCTTTGTGGCGTAAGGCTTACGTTATTCCATTACAAAAGATCACAAATCCCACTCTACCCAATCATTTCCGACCTATATCCATCCTTCCCTTCTTATCCAAGGTCCTTGAGGCCTGTGTCCACAAGCAACTTTCGCAGTTTATCTCCTGTCATAACTTACTAAGTCCATTGCAGTCTGGCTTTAGGCCCGGTCATAGCACCGTTTCCGCACTCCTGAAAGTAACTGGTGATATTAGGGCAGGCATAGAGGATACTAAAGTCACTGTGTTGGTTTTAGTTGACTTCTCGAACGCCTTTAATACCATCAGTCATGACCTTCTAATTTCCATCCTTTCCCTTTCAATGGTCTCACCCGAAGCACTGGATTGGTTTTCATCATATCTTCGAGGTCGCCAGCAGTCGGTTCGCATCGATGAGCTATCATCTAGCTGGCTTGACTTACATGCTGGTGTTCCTCAAGGCGGCATATTATCTCCTTTATTGTTTTCTATATTTATTAATCTCATTACCCTAGACCTTCAGTCTGCGTATCATCTGTATGCCGATGACTTGCAACTGTACACACAAGCGAGTATTGACAATATTTCTACAGCGGTGGACATAATTAACAGGGACCTTGAGTATATTAAGAACTGGTCTGACAGGTTTGGCCTAATGGTCAACCCTTCGAAGTGTCAGGCCATAATAATTGGTAGCCGTCGGATGATTCATAGATTGAAAACGGTAGCTTTACCTCCTATCTTTTTTAATAGTACTGAGATCCAACTGTGTTCTACTGTGAAGGATCTAGGTTTATTAATTGATTCTACTTTGAGTTGGAAAGACCAAGCAACGACCGTTAGCCAGAAAGTTACCGGTACCCTGCGTTCTCTCTATCGCCTAAAAAATTTTCTGCCATCTGCAACCAAAGCAATGCTTATGCAAATCTTAATTTTTCCCCTAATCGACTATGGTGATGTGTGTTATTTCGACCTGAATGCAGATCTTCTCAATAAATATGACCGTCTTCTGAATAACTGCATTCGATTCATTTTCAATCTTCGAAAGTATGACCATGTATCCACGTATCGATCTCAATTAAAATGGTTACCTATTCGTCAACGCCGTAGTTTGCGTGCACTCACTACCCTTTATTCTATCCTGATGTCTCCAACTTCCTGTTCCTACTTATCTCCATACTTTCAGTTGCTTAGCGCTAGTCATGAGAGAAACCTCCGCTCTACGAACAACCTTCTTCTCCTATGTCCCTCCCATAGCTCTGGACTTGTTCATTCTTCTTTCCACATTCAATCTATTCTCCTTTGGAACGCACTACCTCTCGAAATCAGGACGGCTAGCAATCGTTACGCGTTCAAGATGAAGGTTCGGGAATACTTAACTAATAAATTGGCAGATTCATCATAGTAATAGTTTATATACATTTTATATATAAATATATATATTTTATTTGATTATGTCTATAATTGTATATCTTCATGAGTTTACATACATCTGACGTTTTAATATGTACTTAAGTAATATACATTTTTATTATCTTATTATTTTTATCATAATTTATTTTATAAGTATATATATATATATTTTATATATTATATATATATATTATATTTTTTTATTAACATTTATATCTTATGTATTTTATTTCGATGTGCTACAATTTTTTTTGTTATTTTAGTTTAGTATTAACATATTACCTTTCTATTACTCCTACTTCATTATATCTCTGCATCATCCCATGGTAGACTGGTAGAGAATGCCTTAGGCATTAAGTCCGCCTATATACCACATGTGTATATGAAGTTTTAAATAAATAAATAAATAAATAAAAATCAGCGCCAACTAGTGGCAATAATCTGAATCACCATCGAGCATTGACTCTCATTCGACAGTGAGAACGTTAACGCACGTGATTAGTTGGAGCAGCAATTTAGATCGTTCGAGACGTAAAACTTTACGCCGTCGATATCGAAAAAGTTTTCACCTAAATTTTTACAGTGATATAGAAGAGTGAGAATAATTGTTGAAGATTTATATTTTTATTTATTTATTTAGATTAGATATATTTATATTTATTTATTTAGATAGATATTATATATTTTATTTAGATTTATATTTAAGATTATTATAGATGGAGAAGATCGTTTTGTGAGAACAATATACAATTTATGCAGGACGTTTTATTTTAGTCAGGAGGATGTTTGCAGCCACAAAGGCATTAATAACTAATAATAATAGATGACTGCTGTTATAACGCCAGTGTTGAAGCAAGAGCTTATGCACATATTTTAGTCCATTGTTACACCCCGATGACAGGTAATTTAAGGATAGATGTCGCCTTTTCCAAGAAAGTATTCAAGTTTTTGTGTAAATAGATTTGATATATCCAAGTTCTTACACTATTTAATAATTAAGTCAGTAGTAATTAAGTATCATAAGTTCACTTAACAGTAAGTAACTAAATTTCATTTACTGCTCCATAAATGTCACCATAAAATCATATTAGAACGAAAACGTCTTCATGTTTTTTTTTTTGCTTTCAATTTAATACTTTCAATAATTAACATTAAAATAAAATGGCTAATTCACAATCTCATAATACTAACGCAAACTGTCGAAACCTTGATCAAATTACGATACATAAACAAATAGGTAATAATGAGTTGTGATTCCGATTATCGCCACTAGTTGGCGCTGATTTTATTCTATACAAATCGTAGTTAGCTCGGGATCGAATACTTAAAAATATAAACTCTCACTAGGCACACGGATCTCCCTTCGGTCGTGTTGAATTACCGCCCCATCGGACTATGAAAATGAGGGAATATAGATTGCATCTGTGCTTGCGCTCATACACTTGGACATATAACCCTGTCCTGTGCAGATGGCTAGTCTCAGTTGACTGGCCGCCGTGACCGAAATTCGGTCTAGAGGATTTTTTATTTTCCATTATTATTAATCGTCCTAGCCGTTTTCGGTTACAGCGACCGTTTTTGACTCCTATATATAAGTCTTACTGCTCCGACCGTTCATGTGCTCGCAAGTGACTAGCATAGCCGATCTTAGTGAGAAATGTGCGAGCACACTTAAGGCAGGTGAGAACACCGTCGCAGTAATTATATTGTATAGCAGCAGGTGGTCGCACTTTAAGTTATTATAAAGATCATCTTGAAGAAATTAAAAAAAGAAGTACTTAAATTTTATATTGCAGTTCTGAATCTACCATAAAAACCGTGTGTTCGTGAAATTCTTAAGCATAGACATACCTATGTCTTTCTTACTGCTATAAGCCAGTGCTTAAAACTACTCTCCCACCTGATGGTAAGTGATGCAGCCGACGATAGTAAAGCGTTCAAGACTACAAGGTTGTTTTTAAGACAAAAGTATATGTTAGTTAAAAAAAATAATGTTTTATTACATTTGTTTTCAGATCCTATAATAATAAAATCATCTAAAGGTTCGGTTGTACCAACTTTGAGTAAGCAATTCAAAAGTAAACCTTCTAGAAAGAAAACACCGCATAAGGTCATTTTGGAATCACGTGCGTCAAAAGAAAATGAAAGTGAGGAAACATCAATGGACGTTGGTACTATAATGGATCCTATCACATTAGAAACAATTTGCAAATCAGACGATAAGTTTAAGAATAAACGTAGTAAATTAGAAAATTTGCTAAGCAATATTAAAGATAAACTATGCAAACCTACAAGTGACCAGGACGGTGATAATAGTAAAGATCAAGCTCTTTTCATATCTACAGATAATAGCAATATTGATAGTACTAAAATCTTAGACGATGACAACAATTCGCGTACTAAGCATAGACAAGAAACTGTTTCAGAAAGTACTGATGATAGTTTATTTCCCGAAATGTCACTCAGTGATCATAACAGTCTAAAATTATTAGAAAACATGGAAATTCCAGTTGAAGGAAAGAAACGGGAATCGATTACGCAAGGAGACGAAACCATAGATGTAGAAATTCCAGAGAAGTTTACGAGCCTAAATAGAATTACAAATATTAGTCAACATTTAAAAAATGTTAAAACAGATCTACCTAAAACAATATCCATTAATATAAAAAATATAAAATTGGACCCTTTGAATATAAACAAGCTACAGACAAATTTAACATCAAATAAAAACGTCTCTTCTTTATCCAAAAGCATAGAGACGGTGACTAAATTAAGTCAAGTTGTTTTGAAACCTAATAGTAATAAAGATTTACAACTTTCGTATGATGATAAATTTGAAAAAGGATGTGACGTAAAAGATAATTTGTGTAACTCTACAGAAACACAAAACAATTTAGTGGAATTAACAACAGATACAAGCAAAAAGTCTAATGAAGATATGACCGAGGAATATATAACAGTATTTAAAATAATTTCTAATGATACTGACGTACTCAAGAACGATATATCTAAATCAAATGATGATGGATCTGGTGATGGAGAAAACTCTGACCATTTCGAAGATTTACAACACGAGAAAGAGACAGATAACTTCACGATTATAAGCAAAGAAACCGAAAATAAGGATAAGGATCAAATTAAATTAAATTCATATTACAAAAAATGCAAAAATCTTAGGAGAGAATCTAAAAAGTTCATCAACTCTTCATCTACAGTTAATAAAAAATCTGCCGAAACTATAGAACCGGAGAAAAAGGAAATAAAAATCAAAGACCATGATACACAACTATGCGATGACTGCAATATGGATTCCAAAAAATCTATAATCGTACCCAGTACAACAGATGTTAAATATTGCCTGAAATGCTCATCCATTTTTGATTTGGATGAATGCAATTATTGTATTAGAAAAGCGAAAGAAAAACAGAATAACATAGACAAACCTTGTGACGTTAACCCGGAAAACGTAGATGGTAACGAGTTTGATGTGATGACAAAAAATATTAACAGTTGCGACTGAATACGGTCGGAAAACTAATAGGAATTCAACTGTAATCAATTTTTACAATTTATGATTGAGCCAGACTCTGGCAAATTCACTCGCGGTAAATTTGCTGGTTACTTATTGACATTAATTTGCAAGGCTTCTAGATAAAGGGGTTAGTTAGTTAGTTTACGTCGGGCTGTTTTCCGCAACTCCACGTATAAGCGCATATTTTGCGTGTGGGCAGGAATAATGCAATTATTCGAGCCATGAAATCTCCCCGACAAAGTTCAACAGTTCTTTGATGTTGCAAGCAACTTCGAGGAGTGATCCCGGCGTGCCAAGATGCGGACATGTCAGCAACACGCAGGCCGCCGTTTCTTCTTCCCCCATAAATGCCATGCACTGGGGACTATCTGTAATACCTATGGTAAATAAATGTTACTATCCTGATCTGTGGATCCAGATAAAGGGGTTAAAACAGACAAAACTATCAAAGTTTAAAGATAAGGTACTTTCGTAACACAATACTTTGTATCCCAATAAATGCACATAAAGCAGCAGATAGTTGAAAATGATAATGATGCATCTGCAAACATGTAATATAATTAATTATTGGTGAAATTTTTAACACAAAAATGTAGCCTGTTTGCTAAAGCAGGTAATGTTAGAATTTAGCTGGAAAAAGTTTTAAACTAACACAATATTACTGTGGTGATAATTTATATATCCATTAATGAAAGAGTCAGAGAAGAGCATTGTGTGACGTTTCCAACATAAACTAAAATAATTTTTATGGTAAATCAAAATTGGGCAACATTTGCAATCATGGTGGGAGAGTCAGCAAAAAATTTCTTATTGAACTAATTTGACCTATCATATTATGATACTTTAAAGGAGTATCAAGTATGTATAAAAAAATCAAACAATTCATATTTCGAATGTGTCATTAGCACTTATAATCCACCACTGAAACAATTATAGGTTTTTTTTTTATTTTTCTGGTTAAAGGCATCACAATGAAATATAACTGATAAACTACGATTAAATAAATTAAAAAAAAAAGACTATAATCATGTTGTATATGTATATCTAAGCTTGACAAAATAAAATGATTTATAGCTAAAGAAATTACAAATGGGATATTAATCTATAAAATATAAAAGCAATGTCATTAATGATAAAATTGCATATAATCATGAAATTCGCAAATCTATTATCTAAAATGATCTAACACATGATATATAAGCATTATCATTTAGAATATGTATGAAATCATGTTTTCAAATAATCTCATAGATGTATTGCTTTTTCAAATGACCTACGGTCTTGTCATAGAATGCCGGTACTAATCAAGATTTTTAATATATTATCCTGTACAATGCTTCCGTCACTTAGGCAAATGCAAACTATGTCGATCGTACACTACTTTAGGGCGGTTAAAAGACGAAGAGAAGTCGTGAAAAAGGGGGAAGTAGTGCAAAGGAAAATAAGAGAGAAATAAGCAAAGCTGATCATGAAGTGATCATAAAGAGAATCAACACGCAGATGGTAAGAAGGTAGAAGAAATAGAGAGGGAAAATAGAGGGTAATGTTCTGATCGTGAATCGGTCACGTAGAAAACCAACAACTTCTAAGGCATTCTCTTATGAAACAACTAGCTGACTGGAAGACGTTTTCCGTGTTTTCCGGTAGATGGCGCAAAGTGAAGTCTCTCCGAGTTCATTAGGGACTTCTCACAGTGTAAATATAAAATTTATTAATTATATGTCTACAGTGTCGCCTATCGAGTCACAAATCGGTACGTAACAGGTCACCAATTTCGACACAGAACAAAGATATTGTGTGAATATAACCTTAATGGGCCACGCTGCAGCTCGGCTCGAGCGGGGAAGGACCACGCCCTCACAATATCGATGCGATATTGCGATATTGATGCGGTTTTCACCAATAAACAGAATGATTCAAGAGGAAGGTTTATTTGTACAATACATGCATTATTTATATAATTCTTCTGTCCGTGTGTATGACTGAACGCCTAAACGGCTAGACTGATTTTAATGAAATTATGTGTGGGTGATTAAGTTGATTCGAGGATGGTTTAGTTTCACAATCATACCCCGGTAGGTGGCGCTGCTGTCGAGATACAGAAAGCACCCGTGCGAAGCCGGGGCGGCTCACTAGTTATATTTGGAACACAATTTTGGAACACTTAATCGTGGAATATTGTTAAAATATTTTAGAATAGCAACTAACGCGACATTGTGTTGTGGGCGTCCAGGGAAAATATGGATTGTGGTATTTATTTATATTATATAATATATAAAATGCTTTGTGTATATATATTGAAAGCAGAAATAAAGATAAGTACCTACCTGGTATACTTGTAAAAAAATCTAATAGACCACCCGTAGAAAACTTGTATTTTTGGTTTTGTATAGTTTTTTTTTTTTGGGAGAACATGGCAAATTTTTCTTTAATGAATTAATTATGTAATATTTTCCTGTATAAGCTGTAAAATAAAGTAAATAAAATATAAAGCTGTAAAACTTTGATCAACGGAGACACTCGTTTTTGGGCCCACTAGAAACCTTAACGTATCTTAATTTTATTAAACATAAAAAAGATACCAATTTATTAGAGTGAACGGCTTAAAGATTTTATGAAAATCTAACCGGAATCATAAAATCTGGAAAAAAAAAACTTCTTTTGATATTCGTGAATTGGTTAATGTAATATGAAAAAAAAATGCGTATAAAGAAAAACGAACTACAAAAAAAAATTCCTTCAGCTTTAAAATACCTATAAATGCTGAATGTACCTACAACTTTATTTCATACTATTAATTGTTGACCAGTGCACTATTTTAACTTTTTAATACCGATGAAAACTGCTACACAATCGCTTTTACTTTTTAGGTTATCGTGATATTAATATATATCGTATCGATATTTTTAACAGAATCGATATATATATATCGCGTGATAAATATCGATATATTCATACTACTACATCATTTGCATGATGTAGTAGTATGAGGCCAAAAATTTAATTACTGACGGTTGGACGAATAAAAAAAACGCCAACCGCGCTTGAATGCTATTGTAGCTTCTTTTGTTCCTTCATGGTTTGTCAATTAATACCACATTTTAAAATATATCGATATTGATACGAATTTTATACTCTAAATTAAATATCGATATAATGCGATTAAAAATATCGACGATATATATATAGATATTTTTATGAGAAAATATCGATATTTTTTACCCAAGCCTAGTCGTGAGTAGCCTGCATACCCTTACCCAAATAGGCGTTGCTATATATCTATACAAATAAATAAGATTGAAGTGTTTGTTTGCAGTGTCAAAATAACAGCTTTTTACTAAATGCATATGAAAGTATATACGGAATAACAACAAAAAACACAAATTTTTTAAAATTTTTGTCTGTCTGTTTGTTTGTTTGTTTACTTGTTCTGGTTAATCTCCGAAATGGCCAGACCGATTTTGACAGGACGTTTATTGGCTTATAGCTGATGTTATAAGGAGTAACTTGACTACTTTTAATTTAAAAAAAATAGGGTTCCGCGCAAAAAAATTAAAACCCATGAAATCCAATCGTAAAAATATCCACGCGTACGAAGTCGCGGGGAACAGCTACTCCATAATATTAATAATACAATGGCTGTGCTAATTTTCACGTATCGTTTTTTTATACTTAGGTATATTTTTAAGACTTCTTTACAGATGCAAATAAAAATGTAATATAAAGAAAAGACTGTGTTTTTATTATCTACATTAACCCGTATATTGGCGGTGTAAGAATATCCACTGCCCCATATCAACCCAAGGGTGTCGTAAGAGGCGACAGAGGGAGGAACAAACCAGGAGATGGACAGCGTAGTCTTACTAATAACAACTAAAAATAATAAAAAACTGCAGTGCCAAGCGTGGCAACTATGGCAAAATCCCCCTCATGAGGCAAACTGAGGGAACCCCATGTTCAGCAGTGGACTTTAAAGGCTGTAATGGATGGGTGGACGAATTAACAAAAGACGCAGAGTACCAGCGTAAAATAGCGGCTTAACGCTGCTGTATTTCGTATGTTACTGATAACGAGGCAATCCATCTTAATCCTCAAGAGTGACGGCGCATCTGCATTCTGATTCTCAATCGAAAACACATCTAGTTGGCTACATCCACTTACTATCAGGTGAACTGTGTGCTAGTGTGCTCGTTTGTTTGTCACTCTTATTCTATAAATGTCTTCGTTCACCGGCGAGCACGTGGTAAATCGGCACTTGAAATTGTAATTAATAATTTCATTGTTCCCAGCGGTGTTCGAAGCCAGGTTGCTCGCGTACTGTGAAATTTACAATGAGTGTTTAGACACTTAACTACTTGTTAAATAAAACACCATAATATACTGTTAGTAATTATTTAATTAACGTTTCTACGACGGTATTGTACATAAAAATCCTTTAGGATAAAAACTAAAAGTCATCATTCCTCATCTTTTGTTAACGTCGGATTGTTATCTGCATCAACATTATAGTCATTGGAAATCAAATCATTACGTGCTCGACACTGATTGTTGTACAGCAAGTCGAGCATTCTAATGTCGGAATCACTGAGCTCGGTATTACGACCCATCAAGAGAGTTTTTGCCCACAGGTGATCCTGAAAATAAATTTTATGTAGGGTAGATGAAAAAAATGTCCAGTCGTAAGCAGTAAATAACAGTTCAAAAACCTGTCAGAATGCCGCTAGCGTAGATACAGGTCATGATATGAATGTAGCAGTTGTAGATGTATTGAAGTGTGCCGAGTTAAAAAAAATTAAAATGTTTGGTGACTGGAGTAAGTTAGTTGCAGTACAGTTTACAAAACTTCAATTACGTGGTCCAAAAACTTTTTTTTTTAATATAACCTAAAATAACTGCTGTGCGAATAACGTGTAGAGTGATTTTATTTATGTGAACTTCAAATACGTTTAGTAAATTTGCGGTGTGAACCGTTATAAAACTTTTTAAAATAGTCCAAATTAATTTCCTGTTTTTAAAATTTACCTTGCTGCTATTATAACGCCGTCCTAATTTAACGTATTTTGGCGGACACTTCAATACACAGAGAGATAGTCCTTCTTACCTCTACCCTCCATAATTTTTTTTTGTAAAACTGAAGTGTGTTCTGTACGTGATAGAGCCACGCTGCAACTAAATTATGCTCTCACAGAATATCAGCTCATTGCTGCTGTGTTTCGTATGGTGTATGTAGATAACCGAAACCTAGTGACAACGCATTCTTTCTTTTTGATTCTTTATCGAGGATAAACGTAGAAGTCAGTGTGTGACACGGTGCGGTTGGTATAGAGAGCCAGTATAATTAACAGGGTATATACGTGGTAGAGCCATGCTGCAGCTATATTAATAGTATAGTTGTAGTACGAATGGGTCGGCCCGACCGGGGCAGGACCACGCTCTCACAGAACACCAGCGTAAAATAGCAGCTTAATGCTGCCGTGTTTCGTATGGTGAGTGTAGAGAACCGGTGGCCCTTTTTACTGGAAAAGAGACATTCCATCTTAGTCTTCACGCCTGTCAACGCATCTGTATTTTAATTCGCAAACGACGATAGATGTACCTAGATGTCTATGGGCCACAGCAACCACTTACCATCAGGTGGACTGTGTGCTCGTTTGTCAACCTTATTCTATAAAAAAAAGAGTGTGAAGAATTCCATCTTAGTCATCAGAGTTGACAACGCATTTGTAACCCCCTTTGTTTGAACTTGGTTGCAGATGTCCTTGGACTTCAGCAGTCACTTACTGTCAGGTGGATTGTAAGGTAATTTGTCATATTTTCAAAGAATAAGGGTGACATACGATCGCACTGTACATCTGATGGTAAGTAGATACTGTCGACATCCATCTATCCTAAATTCCTATATTAAGAATCTAAATTAAGATGCGTTGTCAGCCCTGAGTACAAAGATGGATTTTTTTTATAGACTAAAGGTGACAAGCAGACACACAGTCCACCTGATGGTAAGTGGTTGCTGTGGCCCATAGACATCTACATCTATCCTCAATTACGAATCAAAATGCAGATGCGTTGTCGCCCGTGAGGACTAAGATGAAATGCCTCATTTCCAGTAAAAAGGGTCCGCGGTTCACTAGACTCACCATACGAAACACAGCAGTATTAAGCTGCTATTTTACGCTGGTATTCTGTGAGCGTGGTCCTTCCCCGGTCGAGCCGACACATTCGTGCTACAACTATACCACTAATATAGCTGCAGCATGGCTCTACCACGTATAAAACTTGATGGTCAGTAGATGATATGGCTCATTGACATCTATATTTTCTTCCTCTAAGCGTTAAGCTGCTATTTTACGCTGATATTCTATTATTACGATGGTATATTATTATTTAACGCTGCTGTGTTTGTATGGTGAGTGTATAGAACCGGAGAGCACTTTTACTGGACACGAGGCATTCCTCACGGGTGACAACGCATCTGCATTTTGAATCGTAGTCAAGCTTAGATGTAGATGTCTATGGGCCACAGCAACCACTTACCATCAGGTGTACTGTGTACTCGTTAGTCACCCTTATCCTATAAATAATAAAACCAGCTGTCGACCTCTAAAAACTGGAAGAAGTAAGGATATAACGCAATATAGGTAATATTTAAAATTAAAAAAAAAATACCTACCCGTAACGGTGTAACAGTCTGATATCTCGGGTCACACTCTCCACACATGTAGAAGGCCGGTGCGTGAGTCACACTGTTGAAATCATACGGCATTTGCACCCACGCCTCAGCTGGAGCTTTTTCGAAATAATGTTCTTTACCTGAATAGAGTTTTTCGAGGTGAATTCTTTAGAATTGTTGTGATTTGATATTCGATGTGAATTTTGAAATGAAAAGCGACACTAAAAATAGACAACCATAATATACATCTATAGGATTTAGCCTGCGAGAGAATGAGACAGAATACAGTCTACAGTGTTTACTATTAGGTATGTGTTACGGTCCACAGCTGCCCCTGCGAAGGTCGCCTTGGCTAGGGCCCATAGTAGCCTCCTCTACGGGCAGCCGAGGGTTCGGGTCCAAATGGCCTTATGGAAAAATGACCTATCATACTACAGAATAGGGAGAAGGCTAGGAAAATAAACAGTACGTACCTGGATCCGAATCTAAGACCGCCCCAAGGCTCGGTCAGGCCGTAGGTAGAGTAGATGCATGTAAAGTAGTGTTTAGTGGTGTGTATATGTGGGTGACCTGGCCCAGCTGAGGTGACCTGGCAGCGCCCGGTTTCAATGCTGCATCACTCCAGCAGGCGTCCACAATGGACAACTTCTTTCTTTATTTCACTGTTTCAGTCTATTAACTTTATTGTACATTTAACTAACTTCAACTCGCCTAATTCAACGTTCATCGTAGAATCGAACACGTGATACCCGACACAAGTAACGGACCGTAGTTCAAAGTTCAACATTCAATGTCCCGGATTCATTTATCATCAAAATACAAATAGGGAACTAACGCGATCCCTTCATGAGTCACACGGTTCAGCGTTACAAACACAACTAAGCTCCGTTCGATATTAAACACCATGCCGCAATAAGAATTCAAAATCAACCTAGCTGACACGTAAACTAGCTACCGAGTCAACACACAAAAGGCTCTTAACGCGACGGTATAATTAAACGATGATTTCCAAACAATCAACCGGGAGACGCCCTCGAAAAGGAATGCGCGGTTCGAATTCTAGACCGTATATCTACTCGGCGTGCGCGTGAAATTCCACCTCACACGAGCAAGTTAAATATTGCAAAATGCACTTCAACACGCAATCACTATATAATTTGCGCAATTACTTTCAAACGAAATTACTTTAATCAGTCAAATACAATACAAGCCTCTTGTCACGAACTTAAAACCTAGACAAACTAAACCAAGGCGGTTTTCACGAAACCACAATTACGTAGCGAAGTAACACGCACTAATTCTAAAAATCTAGACCATAAACCGGTCGCGCGAAATTTCTGCAGCGGTAACCGAGATACGCTAATTAACTGCACCGCTGCCCGCGAGCCACTGTCTCTCGCCCGACATCGCCAAACGCTGGGAAGCTCCTTCCGCTGCCCCCTCCCCGTGACATGCGTGACACCTGGTACTATCGGGCGATTCACTAGATCGAACGTGATTGGATGCCGTCTCAAAATGACCATTTTTGGCCTAAACAGTATGTACGGGTTAAGGACGAAATTTGTTGATTAGAAAATATTTAAGTTCTAACAGTGATGAAATTGAAAACTTGGAGTATGTATAATATATAGAATAAAATAATTTTTAAACTTTTTTTAAATGGAATGCCTCGTATCCAGTAACAAGGGTCTCCGGTTCTCTACACTCACCATACGAAACACAAATTTTCCCATAACATCATTTACAATAGGTATCTATGGCATGATATTTATGTCAAAGTTGGTAAAAAATTACCTCGCGTACATCCGCTTGATAAAATAAAATGATGTGTCTTACCTAGTATGAAGAGCACCTCCCGCCCTCCCTCAATTGCGTGCACTATCCCCGTCACCACTAATCCCAGCACCACTACACTAGGAAAGACACCACTGACGACAACACTACAGAACATTTTTACCAACTTAAATATAATGGATTTTCGCAAAGTAGCAATTGATTCTATAAATTTATCCATATTTATGTATTATATTAAAATGAAATTTTGTATTTTTTAGTAAAAAAACACCACTAAAGGCAACATTATCTAAATGTGTTTTAAAATTTGCCTCAATTTAGATCCTCGCTTTAGAGCCTTGTATAACTAAGCTTTTCTTTTATTATTATAGGATAGGGTGACAAACGAGCACACAGTCCACCTGATGGTAAGTGGTTGCTGTGATCCATAGACATCTACATCTATGTTCGTTTGCGAATCATAATGCAGACGCGTTGTCACCCGTGAGGACTTCTTAGTCCTCTGAGTGAGTGTGGAATGCCTCTTTTCCAGTAAAAAGGGTCTCCGGTTCTCTACACTCACCATTCGAAACACAGCAGTGTTAAGCTGCTATTTGACGCTGGTATTCTGTGAGAGCGTGGAACTTCCCCGGTCGAGCCGACCCATTCGTGCTACAACTATACTACTAATATAGCTGCAGCATGGTTCTACCACGTATATAGATTTTGAGAGCCTGTAATGACGAAAATAATGATTATGCAATAAGTAGAACTAGAATAACCGACTTAGCCAAACGGATCAGTAACCTGAATTGGCATGGGCCGGCAATATACCCTTTTTACTGGAAACGAGGCATTCCATCTTAGTCCTCACGGGTGACAACGCATCTGCATTTTGATTCGTAATCGAGGATAGATGTATATGTAGATGTCTGTGTGCTCGTTTGTAACCCTTATCCTAAAAAAAATATAGTCCGTCGAACCGATAACCTATATGGAAGAACGGTTTTTCAGTGGCAGCCTTGTACGGGAAGCGGGGCAGCCTCCACTAGATGGAGTGACGACCTGGTAAGATAGGCGGGAAGTCGATGGATGCAGTTGGTTCAGGACCATGCTTTGTGACATTTCTTGGCGGAGGCCTGTGTTTAGCAGTGAATTTGTGAAGGGCTGTAATGATGATGATGATGTACATAGGGATTTTATTTAGTTGTACAATTCTATTATATGTACTTTATACATCGTGAGGAAACCTGCATATCTGAGAAATAAAAAAATATACATTTTGAAGATATGTGAAGTCCGACAACACGCATTGTGGCAGCGCGGCGGATACTTACTTGCCCTAAAACTCTGTCAGAAGTGAGAGGACGCCTGTACTCAGCAATGGGACGTTGTTATTTTATGTGTTTTACCAGAAAATTGTCGTCGTGAACAAAATTGGACAGACGTATTAAATTAAACGTTATATGCTAACCTTTCTCAATCCTATCCCAGTTCACTGCAATGTATTTATCCCTGTCAAAGCGATTTGACATCATGTGCACTCCAAGAGTCCGCATCAGGTTAACTAATACGTGCGCGTTGTGGCCCCGAGATCCGCGTACCATAGACTCCAGGCTTATGGTCTATCGGGGTTATAGAAATTAACAATTTGTCAATGGTTACCTGCCCTTTTAGTTTATTAAATCTATTGTGGATGGTATTTTCAATGCGGGAAAGAAAAAGAATATCATATTTTACTATATTCTAGAGCTCTAAGATTCAAGAAATGTGCCTACTCTTTTTTTAAATGGCTGACAACGCTTCTGCAATTCCCATGGTGTTGCAGTTGTTTATGGGCGGCGGTAGTCGCTTACTATCAGGTGAGCAACATGCTCGTTTGCCCCACTCATATAATAAAAGGAAAAAAAAAAGAAAAACTATTTAAAACTCTTGAATACTGGAATGAGGCACAAGCCGATAGATGGCGGCAAATATTTGATAACTCAGTCCCTAGATGGCGTCACTAGTGTTTGAAAACACAATATTGTTTGACCAGATTATACGACATTAGTTGTGTGGAAACCATTGTGTCGATACTTTGTTCTAAACCTTTGTGCAATACGATAATCTTAATGCTATTTAGCTATAAAAAAATCTTCTCATTTTTGTTTAGAAATCCATCTGTTAAATAGGTAGGCCTCTTAATTATTTCAACTGCTAACCAGCAGTACGTGAACTGTTGTTTTCCCGTCTGAAGGATATTGAGTTGAGAGCCAGTACAATTTCAGGCCGTGAGGCATTCCATCTTAGTGCTCAGATCTGACAATGCATCTGTAACTTTTGTTTCTTTGAAATTGGTTTCAGATGACATTGGACTGCAGTCTCGCAGTAGCTACTACACCCACAGGTGGACTATGAATTCGTTTGTCACTTTGGTTTTACAAAAAATAAGGGCCTAAAAACTAAAAAGAAAAAACAACAACACATTGCTGTAACTGAGGGATTGCGGGTGCCCTGTTAGCCTTTGATAAAAGAAGGGTTTCCGGTAGGTTTCTGAAGTTATACCTGTGCGGAAAAATCGGTAAAAATAGCAGATTCCACACGTGCGAGGCTAAAAATATTGTATATGGAATCGAAGACTATAGTAAGGCCCGATTCCATATACACACGAGTTATGCTGCGACATGCATTTTGCACGTGGTAGAGCCATACTGCAGCTATATTAGTAGTATAGTTGTAGCACGAATGGGTCGGCTCAACCGGTGAAGGACCGCGCTCTCACAGAATACCAGCGTAAAATAGCAGTTTAACACTGCTGTGTTTCGTATGGTGAGTGTAGAGAACCGGAGACCCTTTTTACCGGAAAAGAGACATTCCATCTTAGTCCTCACGGTTGACAATGCGTCTGCATTTTGATTCGCAAACGAGGATAGATGTAGATGTCTATGGGCCACAGCAACCACTTACCATTAGGTGGACTGTGTGCTCGTTTGTCACCCTATCCTATAAAATAAAAAAAAATCGATGTTGAACCGAACCTTAGTGACAGTAATTAAGCCGAAAAACTCAGTACATTTACAATGTCTATGCTTGTTATCCTTAAGTTGTTGGTCCTTCGAGCAGGATGAATACCCATAACTAGATGAAGAGACAAGCTGCAGGGAATCGATTGTCATAAAGCACAAATCAAGCCACTTTTCAAGCCGCCTGGCTTAGAATTGTGCTTCGAGTCAATTTGTGACAATTTTTTTTCTTTATTCAGTATTCGAATGTTGCTTTTTGGATTGATGTTGATTTAATGGTTTGATAATGATTAATACGTTAATTTTTGTAAAACTATAACTAACAAGAGTAAACAAATTTGCACGTCGTTTTAAGGGACTTAGTAGATAATACATTACATACTATTAAGTACCTCATCTAACAAACATACTAAAAAGCAAATAAATAAATAAATTGCAGGCCGTGAGTCATTCACCCTAATCCACGGAGGTGACAAACACATTTGTAGGCTTTTGTTGGAAGTTGCTTGCAGGCGTCCATTGGTCACTTACCATCAGATAGACGGTGAGTTCGTTTCACTGAATATGAAAACGTAAAACCCTATCTAAATATTAATCTTTAAAAAAATAGATCTGAATAACCTGCATTCCATTAACAAATCCAATTCGCGGCATCTCTTCCCCGAAGCTGGTGAAAAAGAGGTAGTTCTTAGGTTTTAGAATACTGTCTGTCTGAAACTCGTGAAAGACCACACAGCTTGACGACTCGATGACTGTCATCGCGTACTTCAGGATGCCGTATTCTATGTTTTTTTCTGAAAGTAACCTACATATTTTTATATGCTTTTTATTACGCGGTAGAGAATCCCACTTATTCGGTGGACGCGGTGGACGGGAGATGGAGAAGGCGGGGCGTGTTTGCGGTAGGGGGCGGGTGGCATCAAATATACGTTGTAGGTCGCTGCGTGCGCCCAATAATTCTCAAATAAGAAATGCGCAATCTCAAGAAAGTAGAAGAATAATAATACATGGTAGAGCCACGCTGCAGCTATATTATGGTTGTCGCACGAATGGGTCGGCTCGACCGGAAGGACTACGCTCTCACAGAATAGCAGCTAAAATCTGATTTGTTTCATATGGTGAGTGTAGAGATCGAGAGACCCTTTTTACTGGAAACAAGGCATTCCTTCTTAGTCCTCAAGGGTGAACACGCATCTGCATTTTGATTCTTAATTAAGAATAGACGTAGATGTCTATGGGCCACGGCATTCACTTACTATCAAGTGGACTACGTGCTTGCGTTTATCAACCTTATTCTATAAAATAAACTTTCTTGTCTTATTTTAAGTTAGATAAGTATTAAATTTCTTTCTTTATATGTTATAATTGCAGTAAAAAATACAAGCTTTGACTTTTGACTTTTAACCTGAAAATTTTCAGTATTTGAAAATCGATGCCGAAATCTGAAACCGTACCGAAAACTCGAACAATTTTTAAAAGCTAAATGAAGAACTGTACCAAAATTATTTCTATACAAAAAAAGATACATACTCAACTTTTCTTCTATTTCAAACATGACGATGCCCAAGGGCCAGAGCTTATCACTGTAGTACTCCTTATTGGCAGGGCTCAACTGGAGTGGGTCTGAGCCTTGTCTTCTTGACGCAATTGATCGTTGTGCAAGAGCACTACATTCCTCGTGGTAGTGGGCGTTGATGAAGTTCCTATCGGAGGGAGAGAGGAGCGTGGGCCTGGAGGGATCGTGATCCTACAATAAGATGTGCAAAAATAGATAAAGGGAATACTACTCGGCGGTGGTGTGCCATTTTTGGACAGGTTAAAACAGGGAAGACCTGCTATGGTTGTATTTATATTCATTAGCCTATACTATCCAGTAATACATCTCTTAATATTAAGGTCATTTGACACAATTATCACAGACACTTTTTTTGTACATGGTACATGTACATGTACATTTTTAGGTACTCCCCTTGTTGCCTCAGCCAGTATCGGAATCCTCGGCGTCGACATATCGAGTAGCGTGCAGTTTCGTGGTCACTTGGAAGAGAAGGCCAAATTGGCCTCTAAAAAGCTTGGCGTGCTCAGCAGAGCGGGACAGTATTTCATGCCGGCTCAACGCCTGCAACTTTACAAGGCGCAGGTTCGGCCTCACATGGAATACTGTTCCCATCTCTGGGCTGGGGCTCCCCAGTGCCAGCTTCTTCCACTTGACCGCATCCAGCGCAGAGCGGCTCGAATCGTCGACGACCGAGTCCTTTCCGATCGGCTCGACTCATTGGCACTGCGAAGAGATGTTGCATCTCTTAGCATTTTCTTTCTCATTTACCATGGGGAGTGCTCTGAGGAATTGTTCGGATTAATCCCAGCCGCCAAATTTCACGAACGCACATCGCGGCAGAACTCCCGATACCATCCACACCATCTGGATGATTGGCGGTCCACCACCGTGCGATTTAGAAGATGTTTTCTTCCTCGCACAACTTCCTTGTGGAATAGTTTACCACCAGCGATTTTTCCGGACCGATACGACTTAGGGACCTTCAAGAAAAGAGCCTACTCCTTTTTAAAAGGCCGGCAACGCATCTGCAATTCCCCTGGTGTTGCGGTTGTTCATGGGCGGCGGTAGTCACTTACCATCAGGTGAGCCGCATGCTCGTTTGCCCCCTCTCCTATAAAAAAAAAACATGGTAGAGCCACGCTGCAGCTATATTAATAGTATAGTTGTAGCACGAATGGGTCGGCTCCACCGGGGTTGGACCACGCTCTCACGGAATACCAGCGTTAAACAGCAGCTTAATGCTGCTGTGTTTCGTATGGTGAGTGTAGAGAACCGGAGACCCTTTTTACTAGAAAAGACACATTTTATCTTAGTCCTCACGGGTGACAACGCGTCTGCATTTTGATTCTTTATTGAGGATAGGTATTGATCGGGGTATCGCCATAAGGATAATCCGCTACTGTCTATGGGAAGTCATAAGATTTTTCTAGATCTTTCCATAGTAGCCTTACGACTGCTGTGCGAAAAAATTGGGTTGTTGATTATTATAAATTAATGAAAAAAAAACAGAGGCATTCATAAGGACTGCTGACAGAAGTGAAAGCTCAATGCGTATGCGTATTTATACATGTACACACGTCGACACGCACTTGACATGCTAGAGACGTGTTGCCCTTAGGCGCAATACGTCACTAGCATGTCAAGGTAATCGGTGATGCGAACACAAGTTTTTTCGCCTACGAAAAAACGCCCAACGCGGCTAAAGCACTTTTCACTTCAAAAATCCATCAATCCATTCATTACAGCCTATAAAAGTCCACAGCTGAACATACGTCTGCCCCGTAGAGTACCTCATAGAGGGGATTTTGTCATAGTTGCCATGCTTGGCAGGCGGGTTGGCCACCGCAGTTTTATATTATTTTCATTATATTGTATTACATTTTATTATTGTCAGGTAGACGCTGTTGCCCATCTCCTGGCAAGTTCCACTTTGTTGCCTCTGACGACACCTACGGGACGATATGGGGTAGTGGATATTCTTACACCGCTACTAAACGGTGAATAAAATATTAAAATTAATATACAAATATATATTTACCCGTTCATGAAATTTCAGGATTAAATCGTAGCTGTTTATAGCCGACACTGCAAATATAAACAATGCTTATGAATAGATCTACTACTGGATATTTATCTTCTTTTATATACGAGATTTTATTTTAGCCTGTGCCCAAAAGTGGGAAATATATGTGCGGTAACTTCACTATAAATAAGATAGTTATAGTTATAGACTATCTAACATCTGGTAGAACCCTCATTATCATTATTTCTCTGCATTATAAAATCCTTAAGGATATACGGAGAAGAACAAGCTAACTGGCATAGCCCTGCGGAACAGTAAGCTAGTGGCAATGGGCCGGCCATATAGCTCGCAGATTACCACCGATTATAGATTGAGAGCAGAAGAACAAGCTAACTGGCATAGCCCTGCGGAACAGTAAGCTAGTGGCAATGGGCCGGCCATATAGCTCGCAGATTACCACCGATTATAGATTGAGAGCAGAACAACAAGCTAACTGGCATAGCTCTGCGGAACAGTAAGCTAGTGGCAATGGGCCGGCCATATAGCTCGCAGATTACCACCGATTATACATTGAGAGCAGAAGAACAAGCTAACTGGCATAACCTGCGGAACAGTAAGCTGAACTGGCAATGGGCCGGCCATATAGCTCGCAGATTACCACCGATTATACATTGAGAGCAGAAGAACAAGGTAACTGGCATAGCCTGCGGAACAGTAAGCTAGTGGCAATGGGCTGGCCATATAGCTCGCAGATTACCGCTGATTATAGATTGAGAGCAGACGAACAAGCTAACTGGCATAGCTCTGCGGAACAGTAAGCTGAAGTGGCAATGGGCTGGCCATATAGCTCGCAGATTATTACTATAGATTGAGAGCAGAAGAACAAGCTAACTGGCATAGCTCTGCGGAACAGTAAGCTGAAGTGGCAATGGGCCGGCCATATAGCTCGCAAATTATTGCTATAGATGGGGAGCAGAAGAACAAGCTAACTGGCATAGCTCTGCGGAACAGTAAGCTAGTGGGAATGGGCCGGCCATATAGCTCGCAGATTACCACCGATTATAGATTGAGAGCAGAAGAACAAGCTAACTGGCATAACCTGCGGAACAGTAAGCTAGTGGCAATGGGTCGGCCATATAGCTCGCAGATTACCACCGATTATAGATTGAGAGCAGAAGAACAAGCTAACTGGCATAGCTCTGCGGTACAGTAAGCTGAAGTGGCAATGGGCCGGCCATATAGCTCGCAGATTATTGCTATAGATTGAGAGCAGAAGAACAAGCTAACTGGCATAGCTCTGCGGTACAGTAAGCTGAAGTGGCAATGGGCCGGCCATATAGCTCGCAAATTATTGCTATAGATGGGGAGCAGAAGAACAAGCTAACTGGCATAGCTCTGCGGAACAGTAAGCTAGTGGGAATGGGCCGGCCATATAGCTCGCAGATTACCACCGATTATAGATTGAGAGCAGAAGAACAAGCTAACTGGCATAACCTGCGGAACAGTAAGCTAGTGGCAATGGGTCGGCCATATAGCTCGCAGATTACCACCGATTATAGATTGAGAGCAGAAGAACAAGCTAACTGGCATAGCTCTGCGGTACAGTAAGCTGAAGTGGCAATGGGCCGGCCATATAGCTCGCAGATTATTGCTATAGATTGAGAGCAGAAGAACAAGCTAACTGGCATAGCTCTGCGGTACAGTAAGCTGAAGTGGCAATGGGCCGGCCATATAGCTCGCAGATTATTGCTATAGATGGGGAGCAGAAGAACAAGCTAACTGGCATAGCTCTGCGGAACAGTAAGCTGAAGTGGCAATGGGCCGGCCATATAGCTCGCAGATTATTGCTATAGATTGAGAGCAGAAGAACAAGCTAACTGGCATAGCTCTGCGGTACAGTAAGCTGAAGTGGCAATGGGCCGGCCATATAGCTCGCAGATTATTGCTATAGATGGGGAGCAGAAGAACAAGCTAACTGGCATAGCTCTGCGGAACAGTAAGCTAGTGGCAATGGGCCGGCCATATAGCTCGCAGATTACCACCGATTATAGATTGAGAGCAGAAGAACAAGCTAACTGGCATAGCTCTGCGGAACAGTAAGCTGAAGTGGCAATGGGCTGGCCATATAGCTCGCAGATTATTGCTATAGATTGAGAGCAGATGAACAAGCTAACTGGCATAGCTCTGCGGTACAGTAAGCTGAAGTGGCAATGGGCCGGCCATATAGCTCGCAGATTATTGCTATAGATTGAGAGCAGAAGAACAAGCTAACTGGCATAGCTCTGCGGTACAGTAAGCTGAAGTGGCAATGGGCCGGCCATATAGCTCGCAGATTATTGCTATTGATGGGGAGCAGAAGAACAAGCTAACTGGCATAGCTCTGCGGAACAGTAAGCTGAAGTGACAATGGGCCGGCCATATAGCTCGCAGATTATTGCTATAGATGGGGAGCAGAAGAACAAGCTAACTGGCATAGCTCTGCGGAACAGTAAGCTAGTGGCAAAGGGCCGGCTATATAGCTCGCAGATTACCACCGATTATAGATTGAGAGCAGAAGAACAAGCTAACTGGCATAACCTGCGGAACAGTAAGCTAGTGGCAATGGGCCGGCCATATAGCTCGCAGATTACCACCGATTATAGATTGAGAGCAGAAGAACAAGCTAACTGGCATAACCTGCGGAACAGTAAGCTAGTGGCAATGGGCCGGCCATATAGCTCGCAGATTACCGCTGATTATAGATTGAGAGCAGAAGAACAAGATAACTGGCATAACCTGCGGAACAGGAAGCTGGTGTCAATGGGCCGGCCATATAGCTCGCAGATTACCGCTCATTATAGATTGAGAGCAGAAGAACAAGCTAACTGGCATAACCTGCGGAACAGTAAGCTAGTGGCAATGGGCCGGCCGTATAGCTCGCAGATTACCGCTCATTATAGATTGAGAGCAGAAGAACAAGCTAAAAAGTGCCGCAGTGTTGGAAGACCTTCAACTGGAGTGACGACCTGATAAAACATGCAGTGTTGGTCGATACAGGTGACTCAATTTTGGGGTAATCTACGGAAGAGGCTTGATGATGAAATAAATACGTACATAGTAAGCTAGATATGTAAAATGATCCTACTATTCTGATTTTGTGTTAATATATAACTGTCAAAGAAATTCAACTTCATTCATACTCGTACCTACCGCTTTTTTAAACAGTCAAAGGAAAAAATAAATGATTGAATCACTTCTATGAATAAAAGAAAAAGTAAAGATAATATTTAAAAAAAAAAGTTTTTAAATTATAAAATAAAATATCTGCACACACCATTTTGCTCGATGCTCGCCCGAAGCATATCCACTATAACCCTTGTAATGTCCTTTTTGTTCAGGCATTTGTAGCCTAGAGGCATATCCTGGAAAATATAAGGCATTATTTTCCTGTTAATTCGTTCTACACATTGGAAATTACAAACTATTGCTCTCTCAGAAATGAGCGTTCGTTGTGAGTACCTAACAGTCATTTTGGGAAAAAGGCCTTCAAGCGTTAAAGGGTAATCAACAGCCTCACCCTCGGTCTGTTCGTGGCATCGTACATGGCCAAACACAGACCCGGAACAATTCTTTATAGGCTAGGCCATACAAACACTTGTTCCTGGCGGTATTCGCAAGAACGGCCCAAAGAGACGCGCGAAATATGAAATAATGTTGTCTTTTTATTGTTATATATTTTAAAGGCAGAGCCGTGGTAGATGGTCAGATGGTTAGCGCTCGCTGTAAATTTCACAGTACGCGAGCAACCCGGGTTCGATCTCCGCCGGCACCAATGAAAATTGTTAATTGAAATTTTAAGTGCTGATTTACCACGTGCTCGGCGGTGAAGGAAAACATCGTGAGGAAACCTGCATGTCTGAGATATAAGAAACAAAAATTCGAAATCATGGGAAGTTCGCCAACACGCATTGGGGCAGCGCGGTGGACATTTCTTTGCCCTAAAACCCTGTCAGAAATGAGGAGAGGCCTATGCCCAGTAGTGGGACGTATATAGGCTGTAACTTTAACATTTATATTTTAAAGTTAAGTTGTTGATGCCTGAAATAAAGATATTATACTGTGCATCATTCCATCCATTACAGCCCATTAAAGTCCACTGCTAAACATAGGCCTCCTCCAAGGGCGTAGCTACCGCCGTATCAGCCGTATCATTGATACGGGGCCCCCGGGCTACAGAGGCCCCGAACGTATGTAAGTAAACATTCTAAGGACTTCTATGGGACAACTTAGAATGGGACAAGATGTTGGTTTGAATTGTTTGGCTAGCTTAATTCCTAGGAGTATTAATTAGTAATAACTTATAATCAATATATGATTATTTTAATTCAATGCGAGAGTTTTTGTTCCTTTTGTGAAAAATCTTTACCCTTCATTTGGGCCCCCCGACAAATTTTGACACAGGGCCCCTCTAAGGCACGCTACTCCACTGGCCTCCTCCATAAGTATTATTTATTCTGTGCGCATAGATTACCTTGTGGCGGCGCTGTAGTCGCGCCACAAGCTAAAATACATCGAAGCCTAAATCGCGCTCTCAAAATTCCTAAGTAAAGCCACTATATATAGAATAGCTCCGAATTTCCAGTCGGAACATTAGTTTTGCGACCCGAAACCAACACTGCGATAGTGGTTCAAGCCGAGGTTCGTACCTCCTTCTGAGGGGTTCTTGAATCGCATCGAGCCTCACTCCGAAAGCAGGGGTCAGGGTGCCTCAAGACTGCAGTCTCGCCGGCAGAATCGTTGCACTCAATAGCTCGTAGGTCCGCGCTTACGAGCCTAATTCGATGAAGCTGTCAGCAGAGCCAACAGCGTACACTTTTAGAAGAAAAAAAAAACTCGGAGCATTGGCCGCTCCCCGGGTAGAACACCTTGCCCGGCGAGAGATTTCCCCTTTTCCTTCATCGGCCACAGTGATGACCCCGACGTGATGTAAACACGCAACCTTTGGAAACTACAACTTTTCAAACCTTCGTCATCGTCCTCAAGTACCACATCCATTCGCTCCCGAGCAGATATTGTCTGCGGTCGTAGTGGGGAATTTTGACACAGTTGCCAGGCTTGGCAAGCGGTTTGCCAACCGTAGTTTTCATTTTTTATTTCGAACTGTTACGAAAACGTTGCCGTGCATCACCTATATGTTTCCATCTGTCGTCTCTTACGACACCCACGGGATGATATGGGGTAGTGGATATACTTACACCGCCACAACACGGATATTGTATAACATTGTATAAAAAAAAATATTTATTTATTTCAGGCAGATGGGCTCTGTGTGTAAGAAATGTATGTCATAATAATTATGTAAGAGACTTACAATAACACTGGCGCTGAAGTTGTAGATACTTGGCGGGCAATCCTTTTTCTTTTCAGGGTTATTTATGTACAGAATTCTGTCATTCTCATTAGTGTTGTAGTTGACAGGTGTGTAGAAGAATTTAACGCATATCTCGTCCCGGAGTTGAGACAGTGTTGATATTATCTCGTCTTGAGAGTGTATGTCTAGAATGCATGATTGAATTAAATGAAATACAGAGTTATTTTGCAAATTTTCAAAGAAGGTTCAAAATACTACTTATTTTGAACCTTAAAGGCAAATGGTGAAGAATAATTAATTTAAAAAACTCTCAAATATTTTGTCCTTTTCATTTTATAAATTCAAAATGCGTGGTAAATATATTATTTTAACTGATTTTACTGCGCACGCACACATTTGTAAGGTTCGAAAGTTCGGTAGGTAGGCATAATCGTTGTTGCCCATAAATCACATTCAATTTGCGATAATCTTTATATATAAAAATTACGTGCCACGTTGTTTGTCCGCGATGAACTCCTATACTACTGAACTGATTTCAATAAAATTTTGCACACTGTGTGCAGTTTGATCCAACTTGAGAGATAGGATAGTTTTTATCCCTATAAGTGACCCTCAATATTTTTTATTACGAATTTAAGAATTTTTATAGGATACAGGGTCGTCGGAGATGGCAGAACAACGTCTGCCTGGCCAGCTAGTTTCTTATAAAGTAGAATCCTTATTTACTCGTATTTTCAAAAACTGCAATAACGGTGTATCATTATTTATATATTTGAACTTAAGGTTAAAATTTAGCCATTCTGAATTATAATCCTGTAAGTACACTTTTTTATACACCGACAAATAAGAGTCAAAAAAAATAGAAAAAGATATAATTCGTCGCCTACGCCGGCAAAACGGCGAACGTCATTTTTTTTAAATTGCAGGAGAGCAAGAACACTTATTTTTCCCCGATTACTAGCAATTTTTCATCACAAAATTTAAAATATTAAATTGAATGAAAAACTACAAATACGACTGTATTGTATGATAATAGAACTAGACGATGAATACAGCTTCAATGTATTACAGTCCTGAAATTACTGTTATAAAAGCTATGAAAAAAGATACGCCTTATTGTAGCGTTTCGTTTTGACCAGGCTCTCCTTTTATCTACTGTTCTCTTAGAGTTACACCCTTTTCATGACTTACTAGTACCTACATATAAAATAATAAATAGTAACTTTGGCATAAAAATGTTAATACATGATTACTGAAGTCGTCATAATTAGGCTCAGTGCGACCGGTTATAATAAGGTCCTGGGTTCGAATTCATGGTTCGGCCAAAATATCCTTTAATTTATTTTTTCGCCAAGAAATTGTTATTAGCTGACCGGATCAGGAAGTTAACGGTGTCTTATCCCCCTGCCTTGGAAAGCACGTAAAGTCGTTTGTCCTGCGCCTGATCCTGAGTGACGGAATATATAGTTCACCTGTGCTTGCGCATATACTTGGGCACTATAATCCCGTCTTGCGTCGATGGCTAGACCGAAATTCGGCTTGGACGACATTAGGTTATTAATTATTGAAAGGATTTAAAGTTTCCTTTAAGAATTTAGCATGCGATCTCTTGACTGTAATATACCTGAACCTATGAAGCATGAGTGTAATGTTTTAAAAAAGACATTTCATTGTCAACTCTAAACTCCACTACTTTTGTCCAGTTAATGGAAGTACCAGATTCATTGTCTTTCCGTAGACTTAGCATCTTTTTATTTTGAGATAACTCTTTGTAATCTTTAAATTCAAAGTATTGTAATGGCTGAACAATATACGGGCGTGAAGATCTTGCCATTTGGATAATGGGATACCACTGAGATGAACTGACTTATGGCCCTATGCGCAGTCACCTTCTTTCTGCCCGTGAAGCAAGTAATCTACGAGTGACGTTTTGGAAATGTGTCACATCATCAATACAGTTTCCAACTGAATATGTCTCAAAATTTAAATGTGTATGTTACCAAAATTGGAAACCTATTTTGAAGAGAAATCTAAAACGAAAGGCATCTGGTATAGAACTATACAAAGCGAGCCTTGTCGCGTACCTTGGTTTAATGATTGTGATCTCAGCAGAAATTTTGTTAAGTTAGCCTTAAGGCTTCGTTCTGGTCATATTCCATCAGCAAAGTTCGCTTTTTTAATGGGGAAAAAAACCTTCACCGTATTGTGATGTATGCAACAAAATTGAAGATGTTTACCATTTGTTGATGGAGTGTGTCAAGAATGAAAAAGATAGACAGGCTGTGTTGAAAGAATTTAACGCAAATGTTTTGGATGTCGATCTAGTGCAAATGGTTTTATCAAACCTGTACATTTTTGAAATTGCAAAGTTTGTAAAACAAAACATGTGTTATTTCAGACAAGCGAAAGAGATTTACACACGAAATACCAGAAATGACAATAGACTTGTTGCTGAAATTATACCCAAGAGTGCTCGATTTAAAAAAAAAACTGCTACTGGATGTGTATTCTCATATTTAATAAAATACCCCAAAATATTACTATAACTTACCCCTTAATAGATTTAAAGGCGCTTTTTACAGGTGGCTAAATGAACATTGTTTTTATAATGTGAATGACTACCTAAATTTGACATGATGTGACACAACAGTTATCTATATATTTTTAATTAAATTTTAATCTTAATTATATTTAAATTTTGTATGTATTGGTATTGCTCATTTGTAAACATTGACATGACGATAAATATTTTAATTGAATTTTATATTGTAATATGATAAAATTAACTATAAAAAATGTATTTGCATGCTGCATTATAGATGGCTGCAAAAGCTGATCTACACTATATAATAACCACCTAAATGTACCCCTTTTTCAAAGCAAATAAATCTTCATTTCATTTCATTTCAAACCCCAAATCAAACATGTCAAGAGGGTTATTTCGACTTGTTTCTAGGACGGAATAATTATCTTCTCTATCTAGTATTAGTTTCTTTTTAGGTTGGTAATTTAACTAGTACTCACAATTATACATTTTAATTTTGTTCTAGTGTAGCAGGAATTAGTATAAGGTATGATGGGATTGGCATGTCATTTTGACAAAAATCTCAAACAACTTAAAGATAGAAAGAAAGAAAGAAAAAAAAATCAATACAGTACCTATATAGTTAAACAGAAGCGACAATAGATTTTTTTATTTCGTTCCACACATTGGTGACCATACAAGTTGATTGATTTAGTAGTCTCTACGTCATGCTTATGTAAGAAGATAGACACAGCTTTTGTAATATATTACTATTTAAGGAGGAAATAAGTGCGCTTTCAATAATTGATTGCGCATATCTAATGCCCGCTGCACATTAGATATGCGCTTAAGAAGTTCCAGAGCCGAATAGCTTCAATAGAAAAGCATTTGGAGTTAAATGAAGTATTATGGGAAGGAATTTCTAGAAGTTATGTTATAAAAATCTATATATTATTATAAACTAGAACAGAAGTGTCACTAGCTGATTATACGTCACGACTGATAAATATATCCCAACATTCAATCTGAGATTATTGCTATTTAGTAGCCTCATCTAAAACATGCAGCCTGCATTCATCATTATCATCATTACAGCCCTTCACAAACCATCGCTGAACATAGACCTCCCCCAAGGAATGCCACAAAGCACGGCTCTGAGCCAACTGCATCCATCGACTTCCTGCATGTCTTACCAGGTCGTCACTCAATCTTGTGCGGGGCCGGTCCACACTTCGACGGGTACGAGTTTGCCACTCGAGTACCTTTCTTTCCCCAACGGTTGTCTGTTCTTTGAGCTATATGGCCGGTCCATTGCCATTTTAGCTTACTAATACGTTACTACGTCCGTACTAATCAGGCTGCATTCATTATTAATTACTTATAACCTATCAAAAGTCCATTACAAATCCCCCTTAGATCGCTTCATAGAGGATATTTACCATAGTTGCCACGCTTGGCAAGTGAGTGTGAGTCCAGTAGCAGAGCGAATGGGATGGTACCATCCCGGATGTCGTAAGAGGCGACAGAGAGAAACAGGAGATTAGTAGCATCTTCCTGAAAATCACCCAAAATATTAAAATAAACTGCGTTTGCCAACCCGCCTACAAAGAGTGGCAACTATGGTAATCTGGGGGGGGGGGGGCTATGTTCGACTTGGACTTTGATGATGATGATTTTATTTTCATAACTAGCTGTGCCCCGGCGGTTTCACCCGCGTCATCACGTGTCGGAGGTTAGCGACATGACCTAGTTCAAGCATTTTATAATTACAATTAAATATTTTATTTCATAGCAATGTATGGAAAAATTGGCATTATTAATGGAGTACTTTTATCTGTCGGCATATTATGTATGATGTAGAGCGTAGTTAAGTTTTATCCACTTTCCTTTCTTCAAGCTTTCAATACTGGCTTCTCGCAGTTCTCACCGGCGGCTAGGGTTTATGCGTCGTTCGCGCGCCCAGCCAAGTATTGAATTATTTTAATTTTACATTATCTCTTAAACTATGCGTCCAAATAACATGGTATAAGGAACAAAGTTTATCTTCATAAAATTGTCTTGATGTTGAAGTAACTTTCGTTCGTAAGGATAAATAGGCCATGCCTAATAATAACCCTCATAAATCACTTTTTAATTTTCAATATTTTTTTTGTCACAAAATACCTAATTATGACTTATGTATAAGAAATAGGCATATGGTATCGCGGACTTTTTTTAGACGGAGTAAAGATCTATATTTTTCTAGAACATTGTATTTACGTATCCCTAACGATAACACCAGCGTACGCGGATAAATCATTTCGGGAGTGCTTTTTCTTCTGACTTGCTTAACAAATATCCATATTTAAGGTTAGCTGAGTGATATAGCTTAATGCTAGATAGCCTATACTATTCCACGTGAATCTGGCTGTAATATAAGTACAAAAAGAATTTTTCAAATCGGACAGGTAGTTCCAGAGATTAGCGCGTTTAAACAAACAAAAAAACTCTTCCGCTTTATTACATTATATAGTTATAGATTATAACAATTTATTTACCATAATCTTTTTTGTTAATTGCATAATGCACCACTCCTTTTCGAAATAGCCTGCTAGCTGCATATTCCATACACAATAGCACTATAAACAACCAACGCATGCTTGAAAGTATGATTGAAATATTGAGTACCTATCACAAAATATTACAAGCCGTAAAATATTAATTGAATTTTCGTATAATGAAATTCTCGAAAGAGCGTATCATTGGTGCTTTCAGTAGAATTTATTTTGCCAACGCAAATTGTGTAAACTGTGTAGGTAATAAACTAAAAATATAGCGTTGTATTTTTATTATTTTGTTTACATATTTGGAATTTTCTGGGACAAGTTAAAAAAAGAACCTAAATTAATATTCTGATTACAGTAAAAACGTATTATTATATCACCATGAATATGACCATGGGCACACAGGCCACCTGGTGGTAAGTGATTGCCTATAGGCATCTACATCTGTCCTCAATTAAGAATCAAAATAAGATGCCTTGTTAACAGTAAGTGTCTCCGGTTGTCTACATACTATATGAAACAGCAGCATTAAGCTGCATTTCTACCGACTTCAAAAAGGAGACGGTACTCAATTCGACTGTTCTTTTTATGAGAGTTACCTCATAACTTTTTACTGGGTCAACCGATTTCGATGATTCTTTTTTTATTCGAAAGCTGGTGCTTCACATGTGGTTCCATATAAATTTGATCAAGGTCTGACCAACAGTTGTTGAGTTATTCTTAATAATTTATATTAAAGTCGGTTGTAAAAAAAAAAATTTTAAATCATTCACGATGGTATTCTGTGAGAGCATGATCCTACCCCGGTTGAGCACTCATTCGTACTGCAATCATAATAAAGACATAGCGTTACTTTACGTCGTAATAATCTCTATATTAAAAAATATTTTCCATTTGTTATATTTTTACCGTGTAATGGCGGTGTAAGAATATCCACTAGTCCACTAGACAATATCACCCCATGGGTGTAGGAAGCGGCGATAGAGGGAAATGGGCAGCAGTCTTCCTAATAATCGTCTCGAATGGGTCGGCTCGACCGGGGAAGGACCACGCTCTCACAGAATACCAGCGTAAAATAGCAGCTTAATGCTGCTGTGTTTCGTATGGTGAGTGTAGAGAACCGGAGACCCTTTTTACTGGAAAAGAGGCATTTCATCTTAGTCCTCAAGGCTGACAACGCATCTGCATTTTGATAAATGTAGATGTCTATGGGCCACAGCAACCACTTACCATCAGGTGGACTGTGTGCTCGTTTGTCACCCTATTTCTATAAAAAAAAAAAACGACTAATAATAAAATAATTTAAAATTAAAAATTTTGTACAGCCGGCTTCAATATAAGTTATTTAAGAATAACTCAAAAACTATTGGTCTGATCTTGATCACATTCATATGGGACCACACGAGAAGTATCAGCTTTCAAATAAAAAAAAGAATCATCGAAATCGGTTCACCCAGTAAAAAGTTATGAGGTAACACCCATAAAAAAAACATCAGTCGAATTGGGTACCATCTCCTTTTTGGAAGTCGGCAGAAAATGACAGACGGAGCATTGCGTACAGATCAAGGGATGTCAAAACCATGATCACCTTATCGACTCACTCACCCAATCGTCTTTCTTTATTCAGCTCGTAAGTTTATCTTGTTGGTTGCAAATGATTTTAAATGGATGCGTGTACGTGAGTGCGTGTTCTAAACGCAGGGCTTTCTTTCTTAGTCCAGTAAAGTCAGAGTCACTAATTTCCTGGTTGAAAAGTAGTCTCTATAATTACGGACCAGTTGACCCTTGCATTCTTACTCTTGCGTCGTGTTGTAGCTGTTTAAGAGAATTCATCATTCGCATTTCCTCCAGTGTGTGTCGTAAGAGGCGACTCAGGAAAGGTCAGAAATACATTATTGGTTGGGTAAAAAAAAAATCACGTTTTTTTTTCGTCATCCAGCTGTCGGTACCTAATAAAATTTTAGGCCTTATCTTAGTACATCATGCAAAACATGACGACATTTATCACGCGTACATCATATAGATAATGTTTAATAATATCGACTAAATCGATATATTTTTTTCACCAGCCCATCCATGTGGAGTCGTAAGTTGCAATTCTCTATACTCCATAGTTGCAATAAGAAAATGGGCGGAGGCCACAGAGTACATTGTATTTGTATATACACGAAAGCGGAGGCCAGAGAATGGCACGTGTCTTGCGCATGTATGGTATTTTCGCTACCTTACACCAATTTTTAAGTTTTTTAAAAAATGTACAGACAGAGATTAGTTTCAGTCTGTAGGTTAATTTTATCCATTAGTCTTAAAGCTGAACGTACATTTTGTCCGAACCGTACGCGCCGAATTTTATAAAATGCGGTATGTACTGTACTATGTATCCGAATATTGAAGGACGAATGCTGATGACGTCATAAAACGCGGCGCATGCTAATGCTCTGTGTAGTCTAATGTTGCCAACTTAGTGGATTTTCCACCAAAACTGGTGGTTTCAACTTAAGTGATAATTTTTGTATTTATATAACTTTTAATTAGTTCGTAATTAATTATACATAATTAATTTTTTTTTAGCATCTATTATCAATATAATATACACACCCTCATAGAAGGAATTACTTAATAATACTTAGTGATAAATTATTTCAAAACCCAATTATAGCAGATTACTCAATTATCAATAAAATACTTGCCTCAAACACAACAAGTCTTTTCTCTGTTTTAGTTAACCTTCTAAATCTTGAGTTTTCCATAGAAAGATATGGTTTTAGTATATGTAGCAATTCTTGATATTTCTTGTATATTAAATGCAAAAATCTAAAAAAATCGTTCATCATCATCTAACAAGTATTTAAATAAAGTATAATGTTCTCCATACAATTGCCTTTTTAAATTAATATTATGAATTTATATAGGTAAGCTATTACTATATTTTTTCCATAGTGATTCCGAGCGATCAACGTCACTGTAACGTTTTAGAAAAAAAAAACTGCAAATTGTTGGCAATACAAAAGATTTGCGTACGGCGCGGACGATGCGTACATGCAAATGTTTGAGGCAATCAGTAAAATCGGCGCGTACGGTGCGTTCAGCGTAAAAGTTCACTGCTGAACATAGGTCCCTCATAGGAGGAATTTTGCTTTAGTTGTCATGCTTGGCAGGCGGATTATCAAACAACTTTCTTTAAATTGTTTTTTTTTTCTGAAAGTGTACGCTGTTGGCCCTGCGGCCTTGACAGCTTCATCGAATTAGGCTCGTAAGCAGGCCCGGATTAACCTTTAGGCAGAGTAGGCAACTGCCTAGGGGCCCCGTGCGCGCACAAATATAATGGAAAATGTTTCATACAGAGAAAATTTGTAACACATACTGTCAGTTGATGAAATACTTCATACTTACAGAACAAAACCATCTAGTATCGAGTAGTAGAACTAATAATATGGATACGTTACATCCCTTTATGCTGGCTGCTATGGGGCCCCGAGAATTCCATTGCCTAAGGGCACCGACATGGTTAATCCGGCCCTGATCGTAAGCGAAGACTTATTGAGATTTTTGTGCTCTTTTATCGAATCGAAATTTAAGTTGTTATGAAATGCTGATGTCCATCTTATGTTTCAACGCCCTATGTCGCCTCTTACAACAACCACGAGACGATATGGGGTAGTGGATATACCGCTTCTATACGGCTAATTATTACAAACTGTAAGGCATAATACGAGTCTGAAATAAGACTAGCCATCCGTGCACAGAAGCACTCCTCATTCCCTCACTCTCATAGTCCGACGCGATTGCATTCTTAACGTGCTTTCCGAGACGCTGGGGTGAAACACTGCCAATTTCCAGACTCCAGGCACTGCTACTGAGAATTTCTTTAACGATAAAATCCAATAATTTTCCCCGTCCCTGGGAATCGAACCCAGGACAAGATCAGCAGTCGCTTACGACCATTAAAATCGCAAGGCAATACGTCACAGTCCTCGTTGCTTCATGCTTCTTTCCACACTGACACACTCGCTCTCTCTCACACACACACGCGTGCGCGAGCCGTATTTTTGGTTAAACAAACATATTTCTATTTTATTCTAATTCATTACTTCAGCATAAGTAAAACGCCTCTTGGCTAAACATCGCACAAACTATAAGTAATCATCTATCATCAGTGATGATGACGAATCCTTTGATTTTTTTAGATATTTTTCACGATTCCATCATAGATATCAGATACAGCATACCAGGCTTCCTGTAGTTCTAAAGTACTTATTCGGTCCTCTTTGGATACTGTTGGACGAAAACAAGACACGCTGTATTTCTTTTTTATTAAATAAACATCAACTTGTGTATATTATTCAATAACAATCAGTCTTTACTGTTATATTCATCATTGATAAATGATAAATTTCTATTTTTTTTTTAATTAATATAAAAGACAATTCATTGCCATAATTTATAAGCAAATTTGAGATAACAATTCTCATAATAATATTATTTGACAAAAATGACATTCATGAAAAGTAAAAACAATAGCGGACTTAAAAGGGAACCTTGCGGCACATCCACTGTATCAATCAAATCCAGCTTTACTGTATGACAATTTTCAGCTGCGAACCACGTTCTTTGTTACAATAGATTATATATATTCAATTAAATTAAGCATTTGTACAATGCAAATATATGATAGGTTGGTTTTTAAATTCTTCCATTTGTCAAGTGTGAAGATTGCAAATCAAGATGTTCATAATTTATATTTGTGTGAACTAGACGATGACAATAATATAATTAAAATACAGTATATGGACAAATTTTCTAACCAAATTAATAAAATATTATGAATGCAAACTAGATACAGAAATGGTACTATATGTGAACTTTCTAGGACACATTGTCTGCATAAAATAACATTGTTAAAATGAACAGCTAAACTGTGCTTAATATAAAACAACTTGAAACAAATAGTTTCTAGTTTTTATAGATTCAGGCTTTATAAGAATTATATTCATAATTTAGAAGTTTCAAAGTAATTTAAAAAATAATATTCTGTAGCGAGGTATGTAATCTGGTAATTTCTTATTAATGAACAGTTATAAAACCAAAGAACTACATTCATAATGTAAGTAGTTTTTAAACTACACATTTATAATAAATAATGATAATAATTTTTATATAACAAATTATAAATAAATAATAAAAAATAAGTGTACAAAGTTCTTTTCTACTTGTATCATATTCAATTAATTTTCTTCATAATTATTGACCATGTGCTCAGACTAGACAGATAGAATATCACAGATTTGATTTAAACTTAAAACTATAACAATCTTCTTTCTTGAGGTACAATAAATAAAACACCAATGTATATTATTCTATACTTTAGTCAAATACACTTAGATCTAAATGACAATTCACATAAAAAATATATCCGTACATTTAAAATGTTTGAGGGTAGTTTGGAAATTGATGATGTTAACCACTTTAAACAATCACATAAATATTCTTCATTTATTTTAAATCAGTGGTACCTGCTAATTTACATCTTAAGTTTTTTCCAAGATTAGACATAGTTACACAAAAGAAAAGTAACCCACATTTAAAATATTGACATTAGAAAGCTAGTTCAGTCAACAATGATACAGATTTGTTTAGATTTGTTTGTAATTTTGATTTTTTATTGACATCAACTTATGCTAGAATTAGTTTTATGTATATATAAACCATAGGAATTGTTTTTACAAATACAATTCTTGACTTTACTGTACGGATCCTCTTTGCATAACTATTTCGAAATTATCTGGTATAGAACCAGATTTACTGACATAGCCCAAGGGATCAGTAAGCAGAAACGACACGGGCGGTGCATATAGTTCTAAGGACCCACAACCAACAAAGAAGTTCTTGAGTGTCTGCCTCGTACCTCATACCAATTATCGAAGTGTAGGTTAGCTTCCCACTAGATGGAGTGACGACCTGGTAAGTTGGCCCAGGACTTATTTTTGTGGCATTTCACGGCATATGTTCAGCAGTGGACTTGTGAAGTTCTGTAATGAATATGATGATGATGATATACAAGTTATGGTGTTGTAAGCATTTGCCCTCCTGGCTACTGTCAACTACTGTTGAATAATGTCAGAAGATGCTAACTGTGTAGGATATAATATAGTTCTCAAATGTATCAAAAAACACAGTCACTTATACAGTCTAGCCTGCCCATGCCCAATGTAAGGACCCGAGATAGACGAGATAGAGGATGGTGTCAGAAGTTCAACAAACACAACAGATCACTTAGACCAACAAAGTAATATAGTACACTACATACATTTGAAGTGGCACTGAAACCATACCTACCTTATTGTAAGAACACACACATATGCATCTAAAATCACTTGCAACCAACATTGTTTTAGGTGAATATGTGTGTGTGAGGTGTAAGTTAAGCATGGTTATCTTTCTCTATTGGTATAAGACAGACCCGAAATCCAAACGGCTTAGCTTTCCATTCACGTCCGTCAAGTTGGGGGTTGATGTTTTTTTTACAGAAAGGTTACATTATTATAAGCTCACACGAAAGTCTCGACATTCGGAGACGCGTAATTTTGAGAAAAAAAAAATTAAAAATCAATTATTTTTGCAATATTTATGTCAATTCCTACGGTAAAACTGACGCTATTTTGTATTGTCATTGTCATCGTCAGTAGGGATGTCGATTCTTTCCGAAAAAGATCGATTTTTAAATCGATCCGAATCGTAAGCCGATGTATCGATTTACAAAAAAATTGATTTATAAAATATCGATATTTTTCATGTTTGCATTTATAATGTAAATACAAATCCATTTTATGAGAAACAAGAAAGATACCATAATAAATGATCTCTTATTGAAATTTGTTTTATTTTAACAGTACCTATTAGGGCAGATAACAAATAAAATAGGTTAGGTTCAACTTATGTCAAAGAACCGAATTGATTGACCCCGACTCCACTTGGTACGAGTCTGTCCTACCCCTAGTGTTTTTATAGAGTCGGAGGCGCGTAGGGGGAGCAGCCTCCGCCTGCTGTAACAAATCGTAGGCATCAGACGAGCCGAAGCTGCGAAGGCGAGGAGGCTGCTCTTCCCGCAGTGCCGGAGACGTTACAGTCTCAAAATAGATACAGAAATCCCTCTTAATCAGTCCCCCTATTTTTTTTCTGATGAAGGGGATTTTTTTCTCTTAAAATGGATTTATATTTGTTTGCATGAAAAAATATCGACATTTTAGAAACCGATTTTTTTCTGAATCGATTCATCAGCTTACGATTTAAATCGATTTATAAAATCGATCTTTTTCGGAAAGAATCGACATCCCTATAGACGATGACAATGACAATACAAAATAGCGTCAGTTTTACGGTAGGAATTGACATAAATATTGCACTAGTTGATATTCAATTTTTTTTTCTCAAAAAGTACGCCAGTCCGCATTTTGAAACGTTGCGTGTGTGCTTATAATAATGTAACCTTTCTGTAAAATATATAAAAATATCAACCCCCCAACTCGACGGACGTCAATGGAAAGTCGTACCATCCAAACAATTTGCATTTTTGCGTAAATATTGGCTATATTAGTGATTTCAACTTTGAACCAACGAAGTAGCGAGGTCTCCTCCTAAATACTAGACTATGTGTACTACTACATATACATATTAATTTATATTCCAAATGATAACAAGTGGCTCTTTAACCGTGAAATTTTACCATATGATTTATACATATTGGGTTGACTCAAATTTCATGGATTCTGTGGTCCCTTCCTTTCTACCCTCGACAAAACATTCCAACCCTACATGTAGACAAAATTAAACCTGCATAGGCTTTGTGATAGTGAGGAGATAATAGGGCCGTAACCCTGGGCATTATCGTACAGTTCAAATAATGGTGCAGCTACAAGTTTGTAGTTCTTTGGCACTGCAAAAAGTGCTCTATCCTGGAGCTGAACGAGGAACAGTCGTTTATGCTCCTTCGGTTTTGTTATGTGCGGCGGAATGTATGGATATTGTGGGGGTTCGAAGTTCGGACGCCACCAGTTACCTGAAAATTGATTGATTAAATTAATATAACCAATTTTATCGCGTCCGGTATGACCAATTTGCAGCAGATACTTTAACAGGGACACCGAGGTATTTGAAATCTTGTTATAGCTAACCAGGGCCCTATGCATTTGGGTAACCCACCTGATGGGAAGTGGTTGCTGTGACCCATAGACATTTACATCTATCCTCAATAAAGAATCAAAATGCAGATGAGTTGTCACCCGTGAGGACTAAGATGGAATGGCTCTTCTCCAGTAAAAAGGCCAATTTTTTTGATGACTAGTGTATATATTAATTATTCAGGCTTATAAACCATTCTAAGTTAACTCAGATAAACCTAGGTGTTTAATTCAACAATTTTATATCAGTAGTTCCTAACTGTAAAAGCATTTATATCCAGTTGAAACTACTGCTAAACAAAGTCTAACTAGTTCAGACTGAACTATTGTTGGCTAACCACCTTTTATTTTCCCTCAATATTTGTATATTTTGTTATATTTTTTGTCTGTAGAATAAATAATACAAAACAATACATATTGTATTGTCAATGCACAGTAACGCCTAAAGGCAAAAATTCCAAACCACAAATCACTAAGCAGTATAAAACAAAAATATAATAACATTTCTCACCTATAGTATCCTCTATCACCCACTCTTGTTTTACACCATCTTGCCTGCCTAGAGTCTCTGTCAGCAACCTTTTCAGACCCTCAATCTCATCCTGGAATAAGACAGAAAATATTTTATTGTACACATTATGATGCATATTGGGTCTGGGACTTACAGGTCCCATTTTTATGTGGGTCTTTAAAAAAACGGTGTTTCTTGCCCAGTATGTCGTAAAAGACGACTGGTGGGCTACAGTCGCTAAACACAAGTCAAGTTATTTGTAGTGTCCGACCGAATTTCAGTTTCGGTCACCTTCGGCCATAAAACTACTTTCGGCGAAACCTTTAGATTCGGTCAAAATGAGCCGAAATTTTGACCAAAGCCGAAAGTTTCCAGCAAGCGTTAAAATTGAACGAACTTTTACGAATGAGCGGGAGCGCGATGGACACGGCGATGCAATTTTTATCAACTCTAGATCAACTTCTAGAGATGATAAAAATTACCTTTTTATATTATAAAGTTAATATAAACTATTAATTTAAAAGTTTTAAAATCATTTACTTTATTAATTTTAGCCAATCTTGAACTAAATTTGTTAGAGTCCTTTTAAGTCTTCGGCTTCCGCTTCAGCCGAAGATTGTGGCGATAGCAATTAATTGGCTTCAGACAGAAATCAATCTTCAGTCCAACACTAGTCATTTGGCACTTTCTAACTTTAAATACTTACATGGATACCACCTCACTTTTAATCTCATCTAATTCATTTGAGCAATAATATCATTGTGAGAGAATTATATATATAGGTATTTTTTTATAGAATAATGGTGACACTTGAGCACACAGTCCACCTAAAGGTAAGTGGGTGCTGTGACCCATAGACAACTATATCTATCCTAAATTAAGAATTAAAATGACATGCAGTGTTGTCACCCTTGAGGACTAAGATGGAATGCCTTATTACCAGTGAAACGGGTCTCCGAGTCTCCACACTCACCATCTGAATGAACAACACAGCATTAAACTGCTATTCCACATTGAAATTCTGTGAGAGGGTGGGTACTACACCGGTCAAGCGACCCCATAATGCTGCAGAAGGCTCTACTACTTAATTTTTTATTGCATTTTGTTTATCATCTCATATGGACAAGCAGAACACATTTTAGCTTTAAAAAATTCACTCTTCACGTTAATATGTACACAATTTGTGATTTAGATTTTACTGAAATTGTTATTTGCAATTTTAATTGATTAATTAAAATACAAAATAAAAGCTCTTCAATAAATAATCATTTAGCATAATATGCTTGACTGTATACCATCTTTCTGAAAATGATTCAGAATAAAAACTGCTGTTGCCAACTATGCCAAATATCTCTCATATGTACAGTGGCAGACTTTTGATAGGCTGTAAGAAATTTTTAAACATGGCAATACTACTGGGTGTACTGTGCATAATAGAAACACAAATGTAGCATTTCTTACCTCTCCCGGGTTTAACTCCCCACCAGGCAGCTTGAAGAAAGCAGTACCAAGCTGCAGCAGCAGAACATGAGGTAAACCATGCTCGTGAACTAAAAGAACACCTTCCACAGATCTGAAAGCATTTTTAATTTCTCACTTATCTATATAAAACACAAAAATTATTTCTACGTACATCCATTATAGACTTTGAAACCGTTCAATTGATGTGCCCCAAACTCGTTTCATTAGGAAGGCAATAATGTGAAGATGGTTTTAGAACACTAAAACAATTTTGTTAGTCACTTATAAATATATAAATTTTTTTTTAATTAAAAAAAAATATTTTATTATTAAATAAATAAAATTCCATATTTTTTCAACAATTTTTTTTAGTATATTAGCACATGCCAGTTATCTATTAGTTAAATATAAATTAGCCCCGTGTTGGTCCGGAACTTATATGTCCCATGTTTTCATGTTTTAGTGGAACATAACAAAAACGAATGTGTCAATAGTGCTAAATATAGATGTGTGTCAATAGTGAATGTATGCTCTAATGCTATAATGTACACTCTCTCTTTCTAAATATTTGGAAAATGTAGTGGGGCTAGCATAACAGCACAACCACTGTTTCTATAATTTGGACTATAGTAATCACTATACATCTACAATATCAAACTTCAATTTGTGGAGTTTTAAACAGTATTTAATAATTACATTACTATTAATGAAATTAATAATGTAATTTAAGTCATATATTTTAAGACAATCATTTTTTGGGGGTAAACTCCAGTCACGTATCGGAACTGATGCACACAATTTTTTTTTTATAGATATATTGTAATATTGTAGATATGTTACAAACAAGGTACATAACCTGTGACCTGTGAATGTAATAATGTTATAAGAATAGGCTTTTCTACTTCTTTTACACTTATTTCTCTATATAAATGTGATAGTAACTTTGACCAATCTATACTAATATTATAGAGAAATCACCTCTTACGAAGCCCATGGAATGATATAGGTTAGTGAATATGTTTACACCGCCACTACACTGTAGCTTTATTATTTATTAAGTAGGAAATATTAATCATAACACTTTTTGATTGAACAACATTGATTGAAACTGAATGCCTTGACAACGGCATAATTAAAACCTGCACTCCTAGTGACAAACAATAGAAATCAGGTCTCAGAGATCAGGCTGTACTAACTGAAATCTGAAACAGTTCCATTTGAATAATCGACCCGAATGACCTTGTGTGTATTTTTTTTATAGGATAGGGTGACAAACAAGCACACAGTCCACCTGATGATAAGTGGTTGCTGTGCCCCATACACATCTACATCTATCCTCGTTTGCAAATCAAAATGCAGATGTGTTGTCACCCGTGAGGATTAAGATGGAATGCCTCTTTTCCAGTAAAAAGGGTCTCCGGTTCTCTACACTCACCATACGAGACACAGCAGCATTAAACTGCTATTTTACGCTGGTATTCTGTGAGAGTGAGGTCCTTCCCCGGTTGAGCCGAACCATTCATGCTACAACTATACTACTAATATAGCTGTAGCATGGCTCTACCATAAATGAGAAATTTTGTGTGTAAGAGAATACTTAATCGATCAGGTCAATAAAGAACAACTGACACATATCTACTATCACGTCGGAAAAAGGTAGCTAATGGAATATTAGGTTTGAGATAGTGTGATAGGTGACGGGCCACCAATCAACTCTTTCACTAATTTCTATCTCTACCCTTATCTCTTGTGATTAGCTTGCTGGTCATTTGACTCAGCCTACACGTCAATGGTTGCAGGAATGACAATATCTATGTATAAATATTATGATTTTAACGGTGGGTACTTTATAGTTGTTATTAGCATTTATAGCAATTCACAGTATGCAAGCAACATGGGTTCAACCCCACTGGCAGCAATGGAATATTTAATTGCAGCTTTTAAATGGTGTTTTACAAAGTGTATATTGCTGAAGTTAAATATTTTATAGATATAAGTAATAAAATCTGTACACATGGTGGACTGAGAACCCTGTCAGAAATTAGAGGTATTTATTTATTAGCATGGAGCCTCTATCAATAAACAAAGATAGGTTAGAAGGTTAATTATGAATGAGCCTCATCATCCTGAATAGACTACACCCATTTGCAGTTCTAAAGTGGTTTGCAGCTCTAAAGTGGTTTGCATCTGTTCATGGGCTATGTGCTACGAAAAAATTTCAAAGTTTACATTCAATAGTCAACGAACCTTCTCATTCCAATTTTACCAAACTCTTCTCGCATTCGTTGAAACCGTGCCGGTACCGATGCATCCTTTTCAAATAGGGGTTCTTTAGTGCCAAAAGTGTAATTAGTGAGAGGATATAGATTTATCGTTCTATTTAGGGTAAGATTTGCTGGGTTTTGACTATTCTGATGTTGAACTGCAGGTCGAGCCGGCCATTGCTTATTTCCGGGAGTACTTTGCACTGCCGCCATTACGTTCTTTTTTTCGATCTATGCAACTCGAAATTTTAACAAATTTTCACCACTAATTACTACAATAAGAGTCAGTAAATACAACAATATTGAAACAAATAATGGTACTATTTAATACAAGCGTTACTTTTAGGCTTGTGGCTTGCCGTCCGCCATTAAGCAGTGTTACAAGCAAAAAAAGTTCATTTACCCTTAGTCTCAGTGGAAAATAAATTCAACCATATTCGCACAGGAACAATTTAAATAGTTCAAAATTTTTTGGAGATTTTGAAATTCTATACTTACTTAAATTATTTAATTTTGAAATAGTTTGATTCATAAATTTTATGTGTCACAGTTACAATTAATACTGTCTGAAGCTGACCAATAGGTAAAATAAATACTCTTCTTTTAATTTCGTAATGTACTTCATGCTGGTTTCCTTGATGTCTTTATCACTGTTAATAAATTCAAAATAAACAGGTCGTGATTTTTACAGCGTTTCGTACGTCCCTTCCAAAAAATAATGTTTCGTTTTATATATTTCAATTTCCTTGATTTAATATATTATAAAAATATTACTTTTAAAACAGAGGCTGTTTATAATAATCTGTTCTGTAATAAAATCACCCAGAGCATCAAGAATCGCACCAATGTTTAGAGGAAAATATACTTTAAGTTGTTCACACTGTCACTAAACCATAAACCGAAACCATAGTCAAATGTATAAACATGGATCATAGAGAAAAAAATGTGGATGATTCAAATTTGGTTTTATCAACTTTTTACGTTTATCATTGCATTTCATGCATTTTTAACGGTGACTCAATTGTACACAAGCAAGGTGCAGTTTTTTTATACTGTAAAATGTACCCACTTCAATTCTGTTAGAAGTAATATCGACGTTATAAGGTAAACAAATTTAACTATTTTTTATTTCTTAACTACATGGGTGCTGTATAAGACCGATTTCCCTTCTGAGCCGCGTCTACGTGCTGTTTTCGAGAGTCATTACGAATCGTCTCGCGCGCAGACTTGACGACTTCCAGCCTCCCGAACAAGCCGGTTTCCGAAAGGGCTTTAGCACCATAGACCACATACATACCCTTCGGCAAATTGTACAGAAGTCCGAAGAGTACAATTTGCCACTATGTCTGGCGTATGTGGACTATGAGAAAGCCTTTGATTCCGTCGAAATTTGGGCGGTGCTGCAGTCCCTTCAGCGGTGCCAAGTTGACTGTCGGTATATCGAAGTGTTGAAGTGCTTGTACAGTAGGGCTACGATGGCTATCCGAGTACAGAACCAGAGTACGAAACCTATCCAATTGCAGAGAGGTGTAAGACAGGGTGACGTCATATCCCCGAAACTCTTCACCGCTGCATTGGAAGACGTTTTCAAGCTTCTGGACTGGAAAGGATACGGTATCAACATCAATGGCGAGTACATCACTCACCTTCGATTTGCCGACGATATAGTCCTTATGGCAGAATCGCTGGAGGACCTAAGCACTATGCTCAATGACCTTGATAGTGTTTCCCAAAGGATAGGTCTTAAGATGAACATGGACAAAACAAAGGTCATGTTCAATGTCCATGTCACACCTATGCCGGTAGTTGTTGGGAGCACTAAGCTCGAAGTTGTTGACAATTATGTTTACCTGGGACAAATAGTCCGACTAGGTAAGTCCAACTTCGACCGAGTGGTCAATCGACGGATTAAACTCGGCTGGGCAGCGTTCGGGAAGCTACGACACATCTTCTCGTCAGACATACCTCAAAATCTGAAAACGAAATTGTACAACCAGTGCGTGTTGCCAGTGATGACTTAGGGAACTGAGACGTGGTCCTTCACTGCTGGCCGTATGAGGAAGCTCAAGGTCGCTCAGCGAGCTATGGAGAGGGCTATGCTCGGAGTTTCTCTGCGTGATAAACTTAGGAATGAGGATATCCGCAGTAGAACCAGAGTAACCGACATAGCCCAACAGATTAGTAAGCTGAAGTGGCAGTGGGCCGGCCATATAGCTCGAAGAACCGACAACCGATGGGGAAGAAAGGTTCTCGAGTGGCAGCCTCGTACCGGTAGGCGAAGTGTAGGGCGTCCCCCCACGAGATGGAGTGACGACCTGGTAAGACATGCAGGAAGTCGATGGATGCAGGTGGCTCAGGACCGTGCTTTGTGGCATTCTTTGGGGGAGGCCTATGTTCAGCAGTGGACTTGTGAAGGGCTGTAATGATGATGACATGGGTGCTGTATAAATAATTCATATTTTTAAACTGTGCTATTTAAAATACGTCTGCCAGTATTTTATATATATATATACTCCAAATTCATGGGCTGGGGGGGGGGGAGTTAAATCTGTGGTCGCTAGCACCAAAGAGAATATAACCACATCGTTTAGCTAGCACTTTGTACGAAGTACATATATTTCCATGGTAAGCACCATGAAGTTATAGATAAAGATGGAGGCCACACTTGGAACAACAGCTTGAGTCAAATCCCTATGTATCTTTATCTCACTCTCTGTGGTCTGACTTCTCTTTTTAGTGTGGAATACAGTATTGCTATGTTTTTATTTAAATCTTACGGTAAATTCTTAGAAATAGTTTCCACACTAAACAAATCAGAAGTTAAGCTCTGTAAAATAATGTATCAATAAATAATTAGTTGAACTACGATTAGTTACATTAAAAATTCCAAAATGGAAGGTCTCGTATGTATTATATATTTAACGAATCAGTGAATTACAATCCCATTTCCTGAGGGTTCGATAATGTGGCAACATTAGCCCTATATGTCAACATAAATTAGACAAATATGGCGGTTGTTTACTTAGCAGTTCACAGCGTCGTTTGAGATATTTAAAGTTAATTATTGTTATAATTCAAGAAATGGTACATACTTGTGTAGTACGTGGTTGCGGCAGTAGTTGGTGTCCAGGAGGTGATATAAGATTTCACACGTAAGTGTTTAAATAGTGACTTTGGCATTGAATACTTGTAAACATACTTTTTTGTATTTTCACTTAATTTTTTGCTGAAACGTTTTATTAGTGTTTTAAACATATAAGTAAATTATAACTTTGTCAAAATCAAATAGTTTTACATTGAATTTAATTTAGTTTGAACAATTTTATTGTTTTTGTTTAAAAGAAATCGCACTGAAGTAGTGTGATCATATTGACGATGTATCTCAGACTTTCCGTGTGACCTTAACTAATTATATGTACAAGTTTCTTATTATGTTACCGGAAATGCATGAAATTTAGGAATTATGTACAATTGCTATATATTCTATATAATTACAGATTTCTTAGATTTCATAATATTAAATTAAAAATTAGTAACATAATATATTCTTTTGGCAGACAATTTATTTTTATTTAGTTTTTGTTTCTCATTATTCTGATACTTTAATAAAGTTTACAATAATTATGTATTTAGAAATGTAGTAGTTTAAATGTATGATATAAAACAACATTTTGTAAAATATGTTATTATTTGCAGACAACAAGTGCATTACATGAAGAGTCTATTGTGCAAATAGCTGCTCTGGCTGTACCAAGCACTAGTTCTAGAATTTATGAAGTAGTTCTGCACTTAAGGAGACAGAAGTGAAATATACTGGCTGTTATATTAAAGACCAAACTAGTAAAAAACAATGTCGAAAAATTCTTGAAAATTTATTCAGTCTTAACAAATTACCTGTAAGATTCCTTTTCCTTTATTACTGTTACGAGCTTGGGGTTCGAGACAATTAAAAACTGCCGATTGAATTACCAAAATTGACACTTTAATTACACAACACTAATTACAATCTAAAATCACACTAATAATAAAACACAGTTCGCCGTTATTTCGCTTCGAAGTATTTTCTTGTATCGCCAATTCAATACTGCCTCGGTCGTGGTCTATACCGGCCTTATATAGGGCCTCAGATAGTTTCCAGAATCTTCTACTGTAGCGACATCTAGAATGTTCGAGTACATATCGGTCCCGAAATTTCTGGAAGGATCTTGACTCTCCTAGTTCTGCTACTCGACACTAGAGGGCGCTAGTGTAACTAGTGTTGCCATGTACAAGACATTAATAGTGGCGCGCAACATTACTAAATACATACCTTTTATTTGTATTTATTATGACTTTAATATTACATTACATAATGTATTATATAGCTTAAAGCACAAACATATTTTAACTCTTTAGTGCCAATCGCAGTGTGGTAACCGTCATTACGACACTAAGCATGAAGCTTCTTGTTTGATGCTTCATTTATGCGTGCTCGTGAAGGCGCGCTCCGGTGTATTATGTGTTACCTATTAAGTGCATTGGAAGACGTTTTCAAGCTTCTGGACTGGAAAGGATACGGTGTGAACATCAATGGCGAGTATATCACTCACTAAGTGTCGTAAATTCGTAAGTGTGTGTACTAAGTACACACACTTACGAATCGAAACGAGGGATAGTGTTGCGCGCGTTGATTGACCACGGCTCCCAGGCTACGGTCATGGGTGAAAGATCAGCCTGGATGTTACGATTAAGGAGAACGTCTGTCAATGGCGCTATCACTGGCGTTGACTCTACTAAAACAAATGTTAAATATGCTGCAGAAATTGAACTTTTATCACGGCACGAATAGGCACGAACCGAACTTCAACATAAGGATCAAAACGTACATAATGTCAACGCAACTGACTACCAAACTGTCGACTCAAACTATCTCCACCAGCACCTGGTCGCACCTGCAAGGACTTGTTTTGGCTGACCCATGCTTAATCAAACAGGACGAGTAGACCTATTACTAGGGATCGATGTGTGTGCTCAAATAATGAAATAAAGTTATCAAGGGGACCCCAAGGAACACCTTGTGCTCAGAATACGACCCTAGGTTGGATTCTGTTTGGGAACGTGGAAGACGAATCAGCCAATAAATTGATTGTTATGCGCCATAATCTTGACCTAAACGATATGCTTAAACGAATGTGGGAACAAGATGCATACGAAAAAGTAGTACCTACAGCTGA